ACCTTACAGCTTGATGCTGTAAATGCGTTTACCAACGCCGTCCTTGACGAACTGGTCTATGTCTGGTTCCCTCCAGGCTATAATAGGCCAAGATCCTGCCTCATTCTTCGCAAGGCCCTCTATGGTCTTAGAAGAAGCCCTCTCTTATGGCAAAAGAGCCTCTTAGACACACTCAAGAGACTTAGTCTCTCTCCCCTTGACGAAGACGACTGTATCTTTATCGGTAAGGGAGTCCTGGTCTTCTTCTTTGTTGACGATATTGCAATCATCTATCGCAAGAAGAACGAACAGAAAGCCCAGCAAGTCGTCAAAGGACTTAAAGAGATCTATGAGATGAAGATCATGGGAGAAATGAGTGTTTTCCTGGGTATAAGAGTTATCAGAGACCGCAAGGCTAGCAAGCTTTGGCTCAGTCTTGATGATTATATCGCTAAGATCTGCGACGAATTCGGAGCCAACAAAAGGAAGAAGCCAACAGGAACACCAATGGGCACTGATAATCTGGTTCCTAATGATCAGGAGACAACTACTGCTGAAGTTCGTCACTACCAGCGACTTATTGGATCCCTCAACTATGCAGCAGTCATCAGTAGACCAGATATCTCCAGAACTACGTCCAGGCTCTCTGAATTCCTCGTCAATCCATCAGCTAGTCACAAGAAGGCAGCCGACTCTTGCCTTGACTACCTCTACCACACGCGTTATCTTGCAATTGAATACAACTCCCAAGGGCCAGGAACTCTCTTCTGCGCCTCAGACGCCTCTTTTGCTGATGACGTCGACACTCGCAAGAGCACCCAGGGATATGTGATGATGATGTTTGGTGGTCCTATCAGCTGGAGCTCATCTAAACAACGTCGCGTCGTCACTTCTAGTACAGAAGCTGAGCTAGTTGCCCTCACTCAAGCAGCAAAGGAATACAGGGCTACTATCCGACTTATCGACCAACTTCAACTTGATCTCGATAGTGACTTCTATCTCCAATGCGACAATCAAGCGACCCTAAGAATCCTGACCACTGAGAGACCTCAAGCGACTAGCAAACTTCGTCACATCAACATCAACAACCTATGGCTTCGCCAAGAAGTCAGTGATGGTCTCATAAACTTCAATTGGATCAAGACCAACGAGATGGTTGCAGATGGACTTACAAAACCACTGCCAGCTCAAAAGCATAGCCGATTTCTAGCCCAGCTAGGTATAGAAAATGTTGAGCAACACGTTAACGCTCTCAAAGAAGCCGAGTTAGTGCAAGCAACATAGGAGAGCAATCTCCTCCTTATCAAAGGATGATCTGCAGGTTGGATCAGTAGTGGTCACAACACCACACAATTCAAAGAAGGGAAATACCAATTTTTGGTCTTCAACACTACATCACCCTACCTTCTGTCGCTCTCGTTGATCATCAGTTATCAATAGCTCTGCTTTATCCAGAGACACAACTTAACAGTTGCCTCTCTGAGGGGGTGTGACAGAATCCATGCATGCTTCTACGCGAGTCATGGACATAACCATTCGGAATGGTCTGACCATCACGAAACAGGCCAGACTGTCATTTCCACCTGGTCCTAGCTCTGCAAGACTTATTAGGATAGCATTAGGCCCACAAGCCTGTGGTGATTCCATCCACTCTTTAGTACGAATAGACGCTCTTTTCTGCTCACTCACATATGCATATTACGCTGGCCACCCTGACTAACCGTCAGTTATGAGCCCAGATGACTCAGCACTGTCTCGACCAATGGGATACCTTCAAATACCTCAACACAGGGCACCTACGGCCCTATTCGCACCGCTTCTTACGCCTCTGCAACTCTAAAACAGAGCCCTCAGGTTCGATCCCACCAAGGGGAGCCGTCGAATAGGCCACAGTCGAATCCAGCTTTAGCAATGCAGTACTACTACATAGCAAATCCTGAGGGGGTGTGACGGAAACTTAGGGTTCCCACAACTACCTAAATGCAGTAGAGGGATCTCTCTTTTGTATATGGCGCAACGGTACAATTCCGAATTCTGTCAGACGGCCTGGGTGGTTGCCCCACCTTTATCCGGCCGTGATGACTAAGCCAGTTGTCCCACTTCACCCAGGGCAGGTGCCAGCCAGCCCATGTGTGTGTGTGTTAGTGTGTTATATTTAACGCCGTGGCGGCAAGGGCGCAGCCGCCCTTGCGGCCGACCTCCCGAAGGGTATATGGCGTGGAGAGCCGTCGCCCTATAACTATTGCTAGATACAGTTCAAATCGTCCTCCAAATCGTGCCTTATGGCTACTATGCGTTCTATCTGTCCCTGGTTCCCGCTGGTGCCCCAGTTCCATTCTTGAATTTTGCGGCTTAAGGCCGGATATGTCTGGAGAGGGCGGCCTGCCGAAACAGGCCCCTCGTACATGTTCTGATTTGTACAAGACCATTCCTGCCCCAGTACTTGGTTGACGACGTGTACTCGCCGCATATCCACTTTTTCTTGGTCGGAGGGTGTGGATATGAGAAAACCCTGGCGAGGGCCCGGAATGGGTCCTAGGCCCCGCATTGGGCTCTGCCCTACCCTTCCCACAGGTAGTTAAAGCCAGCCAGCCCATGGTACCTGCCTATTACTCCTTATCAGCCTTTGCTGTTCCAACACTTTATTATGATCCTCAAGGGTCTTCGGTCGTTACGTGACCACTTGCCTGCTTGTCATAGCGAGGGTCTTAATACTGGCGGGCTCCTTAGGGTACCATCCTGTGTTTTCCTTACTGTCTTGATAGGTAAGGCAGTTGTCATCGTAGCATACTATCCAAGAGAGTTACTTGTAAGGAATTTCCTTAGTAGCGATCCTGATCTGTTTCTCGGGGACAGGTCGCTACTGGATCCTTCTAGGTTATTGATAGTTGCGGGACATGTATCCTGGCTTATCGTAGTTATAGCACCTGAAGACTTCCTTCTGGTACGGTTGTTCTCGTTTGGCCATACTAAGGTCCATCGGTCCACTATAGTATCCATAGGCCGTAGTTTATCGGTTCTGCCAATGGTTATTTCTAGGGCGGTTCTGTCCCAGGAAGCGCGGTTAATAGCGTTTCCCAATGTTTACTTGCGGGGCGTGCTTCCTTTCCCTTCGTCGTTCGTAAAGTCGGTTGTCAAGTTTGATGGCCAATTCGACATATTTTAAAAAGTCGTTAGGTCTGTCTTATCGAGACAGTTCGTCCTTGACTTCCTCCTTAAGCCCTTCATAGAACATAAAGATCTTAGCGTTATCGGAGTAATTAAGTCGGGCGCAGATTCGTCTAAATTCTACAGCATAGTACGAGGCTGACCCCTTCTATCGAAGGTTAGAGAGTTCTCTCTCGTATTATCGTTCCTCGTCTAGTTCTTAGAACAGAGACAGAAGTATATTTTCGAATCCGTATAGTCGTTCGAAGATACCTTGGGTCTCTAGCTTAAGAGTGTTCCAGTCGTTAGTTATTATAAAGTCGGTAAGATATAGTTCGAACCATACGAGGGCTTTTCCCTTTAAAAAGGAGGCGGCATAGATAACCTTCTCGGCTTCTTCCTTAAAGTTCATTCCGTGGAAGCGTTAGTAGGCTCTGATTTACGTAAGGAATCCCTTCAGTTATCCTAGGGTTCCGTCGAAGGCTTAAGGTAAGTTAAGCCTAAGCTTCTCTCGTCCGTCATGCGGCGTAGCGATGATATTAACGGCACCGTAGAGAGTATTAACCTTCTCCGTAAGGTAGTCCGCTTCCTTAGTCTTGTTCTCAAGTCGCTCCATAGCGTCATTAAACATCTAATATTATGGCGATATCGGAGTCGTTCTTCTTAATCTTCTTCTATAGGGCTATATAGACCTTACGAGTAAAGCCAATTTCTTCTTCCGAGTCTTCGACGTCCTTCATTTCTTCGTCCAGGGTTTTAGCAGGCATAGGGACCTTACCCTTGGAGTCGTTGGAAGATGTGGACGGGGTGGCTTTGGAAGACATCGTTGTTTTTACTGTTAGCAGTTTCGTAGGGTCAACTTACTGAACAGGAGCAATTAAAGTGTTACGGCCAGCTAGTCGTATGGGTAGTTTGCAGAAGTTGAGGCTGCGGAACTGGTAACAGTAATCGTAGTCGTTGAATAGTTTCAAGGAAACTATGTCTGTCAATCGTAAGGTAAGGTAAGGCTTCGGTGATCAATCGTAGTCTTGTCAAGGTGATAGCTGAAAGCGGATGTTAATCCTGATACGAAGTTAATTGCTGAAGAAGCTATGGAAAGTCTGTCCTAGAGCCCAGCTCGAGTCCATCCTTATATACAAGTCCGATCCTAACTGAACAGTGCTGAACAGTCCCCTTTGTCTGGATATGTTGGATATGCCGAATATGAAAAATATACTTGACTCGGTTGGATATGTCCCATATCCAACATATCCTTATCCCTTAGTTATCATATCTCTTATCATCACGTGACTTGTACCATAGTTCCTCCGTTCCTGGGGTTTCCCCAATGTTCCGTCCCGTCCTGCATATATGATGCGCCGTAGCCGCCAGGCGTCAGCGGGGCACGCCCTGGTCTCATGTTGGGTCGTAACACATGGCAAGATTATATAATAATTACTCTAGCGTTAATTAGTACACTAATGCACGAGCTATCTTCACCCCATTAAATTGGCAAACACGAATCTATACAAATAGAGATAAGTTACCCCTATAATCTCTATTAACTCTACACCCTAGTATTCACGCGCCATAATTATTTTCTATGGCGTTTTCTATGAACTCTACTATAGTTCGTCGTGTCCTAGAGGTTAGGTATATAATAAAAGTAAGATTATTTTTAAGCTTATCTAATTCCTAGCTTTCAGTATATATCTATTATATCTATTTTACCTAAGAAAACCTCATTGGATTCTACCCCCTATTTTTTTTATCGGATTCTACCCTATGTCTTTACGGTCTCCACTTCATTTTTTATCGTCTTTTCAACGGATTCTACTACAATCCATTGCTGCCAGTATGTTAGGATCACTCGATCTTGGAGTCACAATTCACGCGGAGAGCTACTTCGTCAGCACGATGCGTCTCACGCTAGATGTCGAGCGTAGACGGCTGGGTGGAGTATCCGAAAGCCATTGGCGATCGGAGGAGAAACTAAATCCGTCGGGCGTGGACACTGGACTGGCTCGAGGGAGATAGACGTTCCAAAGATGGATGGTGCCGGACGTGATTGACGAGCACTAGAAACCCCTCTGGGGAGGTAATCACCTCGAAGTAGGCACACCTTGGCCTTCATGGGCCCTGCAGGCTCGATGGACTCTGAGACTTCAGAGTTGACTGCGTCAACAATCCAACCATAACAATCAAAACAACAAAGCGCTCGACCAAATCACCAATTCCTTCTGAACCGCCTCTGGCTACATAAACTTGCTCCATGGGCCAAGGGCACCTCAAGGAGACCCTGATGGGCGGCCGCGCTTGTAATAGCCAAGCTTCCTCTGCACTGTCCTCCCTTGACCCCATTGGAATCGCCATATCCCCAGGCTCAGACTCCTGCACCACCTTGCTGACATTAACGCAATGGGCACTCCGTTCTCGCGTTTCGGTTCGGCAATACTTAGGAGAGACGGCAACGATGGCTTAGCTTTCAGAGAAGGTCCGCGGCTTCTCGGATACAAGACTCGATCTTATGCAGCGGCAGCTGGATCGGCGCAGGGCGGGACCTGGGTTTTGGTAATTAGCAAAAAGCAACGCTTTGCAACGAAGGAAAATAAAGAGGGAGAGAATCACGTACCTGTCGTATCTGCGGGGACGGATGTATTGCGTCGGCAGCTTCGTCGTGTCGCCAACGAAGTCGGACGGGAAGAGCTTCAGACAGGCTTTCGCCTGGGTGACGGGAGTCCATTTCATGATCCTCTTGGCGCTGATTACATTTCCATCCTCGTCCTCGACCGCCACCTAGGCGGCGACGACGCAGCGGTCAATCTCGTCCAGAACGGCAGCCGCCATTTCGTGGAATCGGTCCGCCTCGTCCTTCGCCGGGATATTGTGGTATGGTATCTTGACGCCGAAGGCCAAACGAACCTGGCCGCCAGGCATCATGATGAAGCTCTGCAGTCTCTTGCGAAGCGCCTTTTCGGTTTTTGGATTCGCGTGAGAGACCTCAAAGATTGTGTGTGGGACGACAGGTCGTTCCTGAGGCATTGCGGCAGACCATGAGCCGTCGGGGTAGAGCGTTTGGACAGCGCGCTGGCCGAGCGAGTAGAGCTTGTAATCAGGAAGGACGGCGTCGAAGATTGGTTTTGTCTCCTTGTACACGATGGGACCGATGTGCTCTTGTACGTAGCCGTGGATTGGACCTTGGCTCATCTTCAAGCGGAGCGTCGCGAGATTGTTTCCAGGACGGACCTCGAGTTCAGTTTGGAGCTTTGTGAGGGCGATCGTCGAGTCTTGGGCTAGGAGAGGGAGGAGTCGGCGGTAGGCGACCTGGGAGAAGGACATGGAAGAGTTGAAGCAGCTACAAAGAGCGCTTCCATGATGACCCGTAAGGACGCAAGTTGCAGCATTGCGAGCCATGTCAATTGCGCCGGATACCGCAGGGTCGGTTGGCATGCAGTGATCGTCCATCTAGCAGCGAGTGCACAGGTTAGCAGATGGTGCATCCCTACATGAGGGTTCTCATACTTTGGAGTGTGGGCTGTGCAGAGCAGCAGAAAGAGCACGATGATGGCTGTTCCAATACCTCATGGGAGAGAAAAAGAGTGAAAGAGAAAGAAGGATTTGTTTGATGTGTGGGGTGTATGCGTGAGGTGGGTGAAATAATAAAAGGGAAGGTAGGTAGGCAAACAAAGGGAAGGTGCTGGGTGTTACGAGCAGGTCAAGGCAACCAACTGTGGCACAAACCAAAAGCTTCGATAATGATGACTCCACATCATTTTCCCTTGTTCTGCATTATATAGCTACGCCATGACGGGACCAATCGTTTAGGCCGTAACACTTTAGTAATATAAAGGTTCGTTATACACCGCTATCGATAATCGCACGCATATTATATCCGTTTATTTAGAGTCTTACTCTTAGATATTCGTCATTAAGATATATTGTTAAGTATAGGCGCTTGTCCTTGCTCTCCGCCTTTCGGTGTCTCTCGTCGATTGGCGTTTCTAGTTTTTTATTATTCTTTTTCTCAGGCTAACGTCTTATTCGATTCGTTCTTAATGTTTTCTCTAAGCCTTTACCTTAGGTACGTAGTGGATCTAGCACTAGTCGTGTCTATAGTCGTCCTATTCTACGTGTTCGCTATTCAAGCATTATATTAGAAAGTTTAGATCAGGTCTAAAGGTTAAGTCAAACCCCCCACTTCCTGGCACCCCCCTGTTTCTGGCACCACAAAAACGATGGGATCACAACCCGACCTCCTCATTACTATTAACTATTGATCCTCAACCACACCCACTACAATACAGCTGCCAGCCTCACTAGGGCATTCAGAGTCGCTGGATTCAGCCGTGATAGCCTCCTTTTCACCCGCTTCGATTTGAGCCCGATGGATATCCCTGATGTTCGCGAACTTCGTGTTGGGATCGATTTGAACAGTCTTCCTCTTCCTCACTGCAGCGTTGGTAACTTGAGCCCTCAGGTGAGCTAGTTGCTGCTGGGCAGCTGCCAGTTGCCAGGCCTGCTCTGTGAAGCCTTTTTTCACCTTCCTGAACAGCAGCCGTTGAGTGCTGGTATCATTGTCGAGTTGGGTGTATAAGTGCAATTGACCGCTGAGCTCTGCCAGCTTCCTGGGTGTCGACCAGACCACTGCAGAGGAGGCAGAATCCCATGGCTCAACAGGGGTAGTTTGTTGACCATTATGGCATCGCTTTCTGCCCTGACTAGTTGGTTTGGGTGTGGTGGGCTTAGCAGGAGGCTCAGGTAGTACCATAGGGTTCATCAGGGGCTTAACCATCGCCACAGGGTGTAGACCAGTCCATTTCCAACCACTTCTGATGTTCGAGACTGATAGACCAGCAAGTCGAGCCTTCTGGTAACAGTCCAGGAAGTTCCTTTTACCTATAATGGTAGAGTCGTTCCATTGAGACAAGTAACCGAGCTCCTTCCGATAGGCTGACTTAACAGGGCTGAAGACAGACTGGTCAAGAGGCTGGAGGACATGAGAGGAGTGTGGTGGTAAGAACAGTAAATGGATATTGTTAATATAGCAATTCCACATGAAGTCTGTCGTCGTATGACTCCCATGCCCATCCACAATCAGCAGTCGAGCCTCCCCCTCAGCCTCAGGCATAGTCTGTGGGATGAACACCTTCTCTAACCATTCAATGGCAGTTAAGTCTGTAGTCCAGCCATTATCTGTTGCTGTGAACTCCCACCCATCGTATGGAACGAGATGTAATGGAAACCACTGCTGTTGGACTGTCTTCCCCTTGAAAATGATAAGAGGACGAAGTGCCCTACCCAAGGCTGAGATACACTCAATGATAGAGAACCATGCCCTCGACCCAGGTTGTTTCTTGCGAACAGACGTCGTCTCAGCCATACCCAGCACTAACCCATTAGCTCCCTGACCCTCGAGGATGCCAGTCTCATCCATATTATATCTGTTGGCTGGTTTGATGTCCTTGATCTCAGGGATAGCGAGGAACTTAAACCAGTTCCTAATGACCTCAGTAGATGCCCCATTAACGCGTCTAGAATCGATAGAACGACTTCTCTGAACCTTAATGATAGGGTTCCTTCTCACAAAGGCATAGATCCAGCCTTTTCCCAGTGGTTTGGTATCCCCAGCAGCAGCCAGAACTCGCTCTGCGAATTCCTTTACCTGTTGGTGCGTTGGTGCGAGGCCCAGCGAAGCCTGAATGCGAACCCATTGTGCCAGCTTACTCTCCTGGTCAGGAGACAGCCTCTGCCAGTCAGCAAAAGCCACTTTCCTAGTCTGACCACCTTGGAGACGTAGTTGGAGGGTTGATCGTGGTATCCCATACTCCAATGAGGCTCTCTTTTGACTCTTGCCGTTTGAGATGTCCTCGAGAGCCTGACGAAGCTGATCTTCGGTATATTGAGGCATTAGATATAGAAGAAGGTATGTGCAAAAGATGAGCCCTTTTGGACGCGGATTGAAAATGTTGTGATAAAAGGAGGTTGGGGGTGGGCATTGGGTTGTGGTGGATTTTCGCGTTTTTGTGGGTGCCAGAAACAGGGGGGTGCCAGGAAGTGGGGGGTTTGACTTATCTAGTTGTTATCTTTAAAGGATAGTAGTGTCTAGCTCATGAGTTAGTCATCTACGTAGATATCCTTAATTGGCTTATTATTAATTCTTCGTAGGTAGAATCGAGAGTCCTTCTTAGGTGACGTACCTCAATTATGTACATCGATGTTCGGCAGACATCCACGACACTATGACTTTTGATTGAGCTACCTAATTTGTCCGAAATCTTTGACTACATAATAGAACCCGGTTCGCTTTGAGGAGTCGACTTGCCTTTTCCCCACGTTTTCGCAGTCCGTAATAGATATGGGTACTCCAGCTTTTAAACTTTGCTCATTGGTCAAGATGAAAACGATGCGGAGACAAGCTGTCGTCAGGGCTGATTTCAGCTGGTCACATTGACTCCACCGGACTTGACCTCTTCTCCGCATCATCACCCGACCTTTCGGGACAGAGTTATTATTCCATCACTTACACTACACAATGTGATGTGGGTAATACAAAAGACTCCTGTCTTTCTCGCAGAATTGGATCGATACACCTGAGCTCTTTCGGCAGCATCCGACTAGCCATTGATAACAAGGACAAACATGGAAATTGTTTGGCAGGCGGCGGCGAAGCAAGGCGGCAAACGTTCATCTCAAGATATGTCTTCACTTCTCACATATGTGTTTTCCTAGTTGAAACTTCCCACAACTAACGCAAGTCAATCACCCTGCCAAAGCTGTCGCACACGAAAGAAGCGATGTTATCATATCGGTGCCACAGAAAGACCATACGCTGTCAAACGCGGCGACAGGCCAATCACCGACCCAGTTGACCAGACATCCAACACTCGCGACTCGAGTCCTAGTCCGAGCCGTGTCAGTCTGTACAACCCAGAATCCGTCTTAGCAGACCTCTCCATGCAATCGACAGGGGCAAGGCTTGCAGAAAAGGCCGGAACTTGTCTGATACACCCACATCGCCAGAAAACCGACTGGACAACTTCTGGAGACGCCTTTTCCCTGGAGGAAAGGTCTCTCCGCCAGCGCAATTGGTACGATCGTCACCGCCGTAAGTTCAGGGAGCTTGAAATTTCAGACAACCAACGACGGTATCTTGAAGACGAGGGGGCTTTTCTTGAATTACCAAAGTCGACGACAGACATTCTTCTCCCAATTTACAACATGCTCTTGGATGATCTCATTCCGGTGGTAGATGGAGCTGCGATATTCCGGGACTATAGCAACGGGCAAGCATCAGTCTTCCTCCTTAGGGCAGTCTCCCTCATTGCCTGTAAATTCAGACAAGCAGCTCCATTTCTTAGAATCCATGAGGATGGCGCGATCATGGATCAGGGAGACTTCGCTTCTAGATTGCTCAAGGGCCTTGATGCGTCTATCAAGGCCGATCTCGAGCCCGACCGAATGACCAAAGTTCAAATCCTAGCTTTGATGCATCTACACAACGACGGCCTGAGTGGACTGGATCGCTCATCGAGTTATCTTTCTCAGGCTATATCCGAAGCGTGGGCAATATCACTGCATGTAAAGGTTCCTGTTAATCCCGAACAAGAGCGTTGCGACTTCTTGTGGTGGACACTGCGAAACTTTGATCGGCTGAACAAGCCCGTCATGGGCGCCGCACCGTTCATGATTGATGATACAGACATTGGGATTGAACGCATTGCTCCCCGAAAGGATCACTACCGGTCTCAGCTCATGACCATATCTCTCTCCCTTGGGGATTTGATGAAAACGGCAACTAGGGTCTACAAAGCTAGCTCGACTACAACAGATGATGACTGTAATCCATTTCCCACATTCTCTGAGCTTACCACTGAGATTTGCCTGGATGGGTTCCAGAGGTCCCACAGATGTAAGTGCCCTTGAAGGCGAAAGTAGGTTGTGCCTTTCTCTAATTCCTTAGTGTACTTGCAGATTTGGTATCACGTCGCCGCGATGCTCTCCTGCCGCTATAGCGGACCGAAGAGCGTTCAGTATCAGCGACGCCTATCCTCCGCTGATAGTATACTACGCATCGTCTGTCTTGAAGGCTCTACGAATCTCCCGCCTCTTCCTCTTGTACCTTATGCTATGTCAATGTCTACCACGGTAATCTATCGCGCTCTCAGGGATGGCGAACGGTCACCGGAAGTAGCGTACAAAGATCTTGGAGCATGTTACAGCAATCTCACGATCCTCAGTCAATTATGGACCAGTGCCAAGGGCGTAGCCAGGGTAGTGAGGCGTTTGCAGCAATTTACCAGGCCTGGCGCTGCTCCCATTCGAACAGCAGATGGCGCCTCATGCACTTGCGAGAACATACATCGACACGCAAACGTCGCTACCAACCTGGTCAGCAGTTTTAATGCCTCACACCCACCAACTCAGAGCACGACTGGAAGCTCAGTGCTACCTATATCGAGTTTGGTGCAACCTAGTGAGGGTTGTCAACCGCAAAGTCCCGCAGATAATGATGGTCATCCGGGTGATCAGGCGGATACTTGGGTCGTCGATGAGCTATCTTACTCTCATTTTGACAGGGCCTTTTACGATTTCTTCGACTACGGGATGCCCAGCCTATTTCGCGATTTGGCGACCTGGGACTTTCTCCAAACAGATGCGAATGATGGTTTAGGAGCCTGACCATTATAGCATTTGGTATTAAATCCATGTAATCTTGAAGAAAATCCTTCTACTCGTCTTCCTTTTCGTCATCGGTTGCATTTAAACACAATACTTTAATCTCAGTAGCTACTTATGTTGCTAAACTTTATTGCTTGCCGTTGTTGATCCCAAGACAGCTTCTTCTAGAACTGCGTCCCGAGCAGTAGAGCGTCGTATACCAATGTCTGAAAGCTCTGGGTTTCAATCACAGCACCAAAACTGATTCCATTGTCAGTCCGGAAAAGTGTCCGTTCTTGGAGCGCTTGACTCACCCATGACATTTAATGCCCTCCATCAATCGATCAACAAGCGCCCATAATCTTCGTAGCTCAATGCCACCAAAATGAGGTTGGCTCCGTATGTACTCCCACGCTTGAGCTGGCGTCATCTCCCCGTCGAAGCAAACATGCGGAGAAAGGGCCAGAATCCATTCTAGAATATCCCTGGGTGCGCCCTGGTATGACGGAGGACCAGCAGTACCTTTTATGTTCAGTTGGGCTGGGTCTGCTTGAAGAGAGAGATTTCGGGCCGAGACTGTCAAAATGTGACCCGTTGAGTCATCAGGCTTCTTGGGATCACCATGAATATGTTCAAGGCAAGGACTTTCGAGCCTTCAAATGGAGTCAGCAAGTCTGCAACTCATGAAGCCGTGATTGTAAAAGCAGATCAACGCATCATGGCATCAATGGTTGTGGTCGCACCTTAGAACAAACTCCATACCTGCTGCAATTAAATCAACTTCGCACATTCGGTTGTCGTCACAATCAGGCATGGTAACTGCTCTGTTAGTTTTCAACCACTGCATTCCTGGGTCTTCCTTTTCGGTGTAATGGTGATTCGACAGGGCGTCTGCTGCCTGCTTGTGGTCATCGGCAGTAACATCAGCCGCCCTCTGAGGCTTTACTTGGAGTGGGATTCTGGCAACAGTTCGACCGTCTTCCGATTCTATGTCCGGAGCTGTTAAATGATCGATGGCTCCCATCTCAGTCCGGGGTTCAGCTGTCCCAGTTGGAATCGCGCTGTGCATTCCAATGTCGTTTTTACTGATTGAGTTGCCCCCGAACGCAGCAGGGACCCCGATTTCATGGCGAGAAAGCATTTCTGTCAATGATTCGAGAGCAGCATATAACTGCTCACATCGGATCATGAGTTCAGTTTCTCTATTTCGGGCTCTTTCAACTTCTTGTTCGAGCGACTTGGTGTACTTATCCTTGCGATCACGGTACGACCTAGACAAGTAATCAGTGAAACGCCTCAGCGCTGATCGGGATGCTTTCCCATACCGTTGAGCACTTCGAAGTTGTTCTCGTCGCTTCTCCACCGGGTCTTTCTTGGCCTCTGTGATGCATTCAGACCCCGAACAACGACGCAGTCATACACAGACAGCTGCATGACATGCAGATCTCTGCCCTCTTCCCAGGAACGAACCTTCAGGGTTGAAGATACGGAATATCTTGCTGCTCATGCTGAATCGGTTTCAAAGGGGCAAGAGGAAGCGATGTTGAAGGCTTTCGAAAGATTGATAAGAGGAATAGCTGAGTTGCAATAGATTCCAATTCGATTTTGCTTTCCTTCGTGGTCGATGTTTGGTGTTGTGCAGTGGCTGCAAGCTCTTGACGTTCTTGAAATACAAGATTAACTGAGTGTAAGCTGCGATTGCACACCATAATTCTTCACCTCAGATGGCAGTTTCAGATCTTGCGGTGGTCTCGGATGTTCGGCTGATGATCAAATGGTCCACTTGGTTTCATCTGACGCGATGAGGATATCAAAATTGCCTCTTCGGGTTAGGTCTTACCGCATGTCAGACGAAAGGAGCGCTTCAGGGAGGGCGTGGCGTTTCGATAACCTTATTCAGTGGGTGCAAGCGATGTGGAATCAAACCACTTGATCTTGCGGATTTTTTTCTGTGGTGCGGAATCCACTGATATTGGCCGAAGCGAGTGGATGAGAAGAGCGAATTGGAAATGAAAGAAGATGAGCAGGAGAAGTGTTTGCCAGCACCCCTGGTCACTGCTACTTGGAGCGCTTTCATGATGCGGGTTTCGGGACGTTCATCGACGTTTGGGTGCACGCGTTTGTGATACTGTCATCGACCCTTCCTAAAAAGGAAATAGGGATTACAACATCATGTTGCCCTTGCAGAATGCACAATAACCTCACGCAAGTGTTGGAAGAGGGAGCGACTACCTTACATGGAATAGTCTGCACTTGGAAAAGGGTTTGCAGTATATATGTGTAGCATTGCCTTAGCCTTCTGTCCAAAGTCATGCAAACATTTACTCATCTCGTCCATTTCCACACATAGAACACTCTACTTGATACATCAATCTGTCGTTTTCAGTATCCACGACCTATCATCTTTCTCACCGCACCATTAGTACCATCTTCCCGATATGCGTCAACACATCGTTCTCTCTCTTTGTTTTGCTTCATCCTTTGCGATCGTTTCGGGAAGAACGGTGGGATGTAAAGCCAATTCTCAAACCGGAAAAGCTATTTACACCATCACCAATGATCAGGTGAACTCTGTTGTTGCCATTCCGATATCCGGCAATGGCATGCTCTCAAAGGGAGCAGTATTTCCAACTGGTGGATCCGGCTCGAATTTCCTTGATGGCACATCAAACAAGCCAGCAGCTCCTGATGCGCTACCATCTCAGTCGGCTCTGACTATTGCAGGCAACGTAATAACGCCAACTCCATAATCTTTATTGTTAGCTCTGTTTCTGATCTAAGTCCTGCAGAACTTGTTTGCCGTCAATGCTGGTTCGAATACGGTTACGATGTTCTCAATCGACCCATTGGATCCCACGAAGCTCACCATTGTAGGCCAACCAGTTGCGGTTCCTGGCCAGTTTCCCAACACGATAGCGGCATCAATAAAACATAATGTTGTCTGCGTCGGCTGCTCCGGGGCACAATCTGGAGTCTCTTGCACTACATTCTCTAAGGACGGACTGGAATCTATGGATTCTCTTCGCCCTGTTGGACTTGGCCAGACTACTCCTCCCGCCGGACCGACCAACACCATATCCCAAGTCTTCTTTTCCAATGATCAGGGCACTCTCTTCACTACAGTCAAGGGTGATCCGTCTCAGAACAGGACAGGGCTTCTAGGTGCGTACAAGGTTAGCAGCAAGGGTTCTGTTCAACAGAACGGAGTGCAATCATCGCCCAACGGTACTGCAGTTCTGTTTGGTTCATCGACAATTCCCAAGAGCAATAACCTCTTTGTCACTGATGCTTCTTTCGGCGGGGCTGTTTTATCCGTTGACCCAAAGTCAAATGCCGCTTCTGTCAAGGGCATGGGTGTTGTCAGCGGTCAGAAAGCAACATGTTGGGTTGCAGTGTCTTTGGCCACTGGCAGCGCATTCGTCACGGATGTTGGTACTAACAGATTGATCGAAATGTCGTTGAGCGATGCAAGTATCAAAAGCATTCTCGATCTCAGTCCCAATGGCGATCCTGGTTTGACTGACCTGAGGGCTGCTGGACAATTCGTGTATGCGCTGAGTCCAGGCAACGGCACAACACAGTCTACAATCACTGTGGTAGACGCCGTCGCGAAGAAACAAGTCCAACATTTTGTACTTGGACAGCTCGGTGTTGGGAGAAATGCTCAAGGAATGGCTGTTATGTTGTGATTATAATGTCGATTTGTATTTAGTATCGAGTGACATTTTTATTTCACTTTAAGTCATGTTGTTATAGAACAAGATTTTCTACGATTTACTCGCAATTGTCGCGCCGTCTCCGTTGAGATCTCCAGGCAGTAGCCTCGTTGTAGGTAGTGAACAAAAATGGATGAAGGTCCAAACAATTCGTATCACTTTAGCTCCAGGTAACTAATCAATTTCGCAGTTCTCTTCGGGCTAACCAAGTCACATGATATCCGTCAGAACAAGAACAATCCATTCCATCTCTATCAAACATTCATAGCTTTTTCCAGTTCCACCGACCGCTCATGATGAGCCACTATTGTCCACGCATGAGAAGGCACCTCCAATCAAGCCGTCGGCATAGGCATCAATGATGTTTTGAACGACACCGTACGTACCACCGATGGTCAAGAAAACGGCTAGCAGAATCATGAGCCAGTTCAGCCAGTAGACCATGGCTTGCCACCAGTTTCCCTGTCTGTAATGCTGGTTATCGAAGATCCATAGGTAACCAGGAAGACCGAGTGCCAGAGGTGCGAAAGTCAAACTCCCTGCTAATGCCAACAGGTAGTTGAAGATGGGAATGCCAGACGCCAAGAGGAATGAGACCACGGACATTCCGAGGGTGCACGCGAGCCAGACAGACCAGTGAACAACCGAGTTGTTCTGCAAATGAACAGAATCGCGTAGGATTCTGACGAACAAGTACTTGGCGGCGACATGGATGTAGAGGCAGGCGCTGACCATCAATCCGATCAAGCCGACACCGTACGAAACTTTCTTGACGGTCTCTCCTGCACTACCCAGAGAAGGAGAGGCAACCCACTGACCGCACCAGCGGTAGACGACAAGCGAGAAAGTCAAGTAGGATGCTGTGACGATACCCATGCAAAGATACACAGCCTTATTGTAGTCCTTGGGCTTCTTCATTTCCGAGATAACGGGGAGGAACGCCGAGGTTCCTGCACCAGAGCAGAAGATAGTGGCAACACTCGTGATTGCGGTTACGAAATTGGGGTTTCCGATGACATGATAACCGAGATCAAAATCGCCGGTCTTTGGGGCAGCGGCAGGCCTGTCGACTTGCGTGACAGCAACGCTGTAATAAACATTAGTTAAATCTGCAAAGGTTACGGAGCGCGAGCGACAAGACTGATACACTCGTAGGGAGGTGTTATGGTGTGGGTTGAAATGGAGTACACTTACACGACAATAAAAACGGCGGTATACACTGACAAGAAGCCAGCCCATGTCAACCATGCGATCTTTTCGAATTTTCGAGCACTTGCAAGAATGAAGACACAGGCAGTAGCGACTAACATGAAATAGTTGGTGCAAATGGCGTGGTTAGAGAGCGCATTGAAGGCAACGGATGTGCCGAAAATGCCCGACGCGCCGACGATTGCGTAAGTGACGAGAAACAAGACTCCGACGACTTCCTTCAGCCAAATACCACCCACAACGTTGGCCATATCAGCGATGGAATGGCATCCAGCATGGGCGTTGCGGAAATTTCCTTGGATAATGGCGCAATACGTGTTGAGAAATTGCCAGCCAAGAACATTGATAGCACCGGGCAGCGCACCCAACACGAACATAGCTGAAGGGATTGTGAGAACACCGGTTGCGAAAATTACTTGAACTTCTTAGCTTCGTCTCTACGTGCCTGATTAAGAAAGCTATCTTACCTTTCAAGAAGATGACCGAGGCGTGGATCCAGCCGACGGTACGAAAATCGACCGTTCCTTCACCGCGCTTAAAGACCTCAAAGGCATCTTCAGCATTTTCAAGCTTTCCCGCATCAATGCTACCGCTGCTTCGAGCCGGCGCCGGTGTGATGGCATCGCTCTTTTCAGAATTGGTCTGAGACATGTCGGCGGTGGTTCCGATTGTTGATGCTGATCCCGATGCCGACTAGAGTGGTTGGTTTCTGATGATCCCGTGGTGTGACGGATGAGCCGCGGATATCACCTGAATATAAGATCGTTCCTGATGGTTAAAGTTGGAGCATTTGGTGATATCGATTATGACGAGTGAGATGAACATGAAAGCCTGGCGTGGCTTATCTCCTAGCGGCAAAGATGTTCCGACGCAAGATAGCTATCGAAAGGAAAGACTGCCCAACCCCGCGACGAGCTTCAGATGCCGCTCCAAGATCGTGGGTCGCCGACCCATGGCGACACCCAAAGTCAAAAAGCGCGTTCAGGGGTTGATGTGCGTTTGTGGATTGTCAGTGGGTCGAAACAAGGTTGCTGCGATAAGGTTGGGGTATAAGTGACAACTTGGAGCAGTTGTCGAGCCCATGTGCCGAACTTGGAGTCAAGAAAGCCCGGCAGATATACCCCAAAGACAAAGGTCCATACTCACTGATATGACGAGAGCGTCGTGAGTGATAAGCGCGGGGTAAATGCAGGAGCCTTGGAGGCATATTTGCGAATGGATTTCACCAACGAGAAGTTACTCCAAGGGTCTTGTTGTAAGACACAGAACGAGGTCTATAGAGATGTTCGCCGGGACCTTCTGGCTATGTCTGAAAAGTTATGGTCAGCGCCTGTGCAAAGAGGAATCGTGGAGTAATACGCGTAATTCGCTTAGAAGGCCCCTTATTCCCTGGTGTGAAGCAAGCATGCGAACTTGGAGGCAAGTAAGGTGGAAATGCCTATGAAAGTTGCTGCAATTGAGAATTCGGATGTAATGTCCATTACATAAGTAGGTAAACTATCTATACTCCTATGGCTTCTTTCTTGAGCATGGCGCCAGGCTCCGCAGGCATCACTGCTCCCTGCGCGGGCGCCGTCTTCGCTTTAAACTCGTCGCAAATCTGCTCCATTGTAACAAACTCCACCCCCTCATGCGACTTCATGTGTTCAATGAGTCTTTCGTGCATAAGCAATGCATGAGGACGACCAGACACGTCCGGGTGGACTGTCAGCGGAAAGATGAACTCGTCGTACTCGCGGTAGAAGTAGTCAAAATGGTCTCGCCAAATATCCTCCACATCCCTGGCATTGACGAATCCATGGCTGTTGGGCGCATCTTTGATGAACATCATTGGCGGCAAATCGTCAAGGTACCAGTTGGCCGGTATCTCTACGAGCCCTGTTTCTTGTCCCCTCACAAGGGGCTTCATCCACTCGCTAGGCTTCTTCTTGTAATCGATCTTGGTCCATTCATCGCCAGTTCGTAGGTAATATGGTTGACAATCGTGATGGCTCATGCTGTGGTCGTATTCAATACCATAGTCGAGCAGAAGCTGGGCCCCCTCCTTGCTTGTTTCCCACCACGGCGCGACGCTACCTCTTGGAGGCTTGCCCGCGAATTCTGTAAGCATGCGATATGTCTTATCGAGGATTTCCCTCTGTTGATCGATAGTCATATCTGTCGGGTTCTCGTGCGAATATCCATGGAGCCCAATTTCGTGGCCGGCGTCTCGAACGGCGGCCATGTCCTCGGGGAAGGTCTCGAGGCTATGTCCTGGGATGAACCATGTGGCCTTGATGTCGTACTTGGCGAGGAATTTGAGCACCCGCTGAACACCAATTGTTCCAGCAAAATAACCTGGAAATCTCGATCGTAAGCCCAAGTAAACCACAATGACCCGGCTTTCACGAAAAGCTCACCTCTGCTGATATCGTTGGAGGAGTCTTCTCCTCCGTAAGATCCTAGCCAGCCGGCGACCGCGTCCACGTCGACGCCATAGCTGACGAGAACACGCTTCTTGCCCATTGTGATGTGTTATTGGATTCTTGCGCAGTTCTTTGGGAGGGATGGGTGAATGAAACGATCTGAAATCTGCTGCTGAAGACTCGTGCGGGGTTCGGGAAGTGGCAGAAGAAGAGGAGGTTGCTTCGCAGCGAACTGATTCCCTTTAAGCAGTGAAACCTAACAGTGGCTCAGTCGGTCACTGAGGGATATTCATGATCTTATCGGGATTCATTATGCTATTGATTCTGCAATGTCTTCGCATGCTTTAGCTCGCTTACCGCGGGGTAGCTTGTGTGGACTCATCTCATTTGAAGGTAGAGCCTAGAAGCAGGGGTCTGGTTGGCTGTTGATTGTAACACCTATGATTGGACGGAAACCATCGGGGATTTGACCACTCCTCTCAAACCATTTCACCGATCACTTGCATTCAGTCCGTGTTAGCTATGGTATCGAAAAAGGAGGGGTATTGTCCAAGAGGGGTGGAGGGGTCTATTCGGTCGCCGGGTTCTTGGCCCACAGTCCCGTTGGAGGACTTAGAGTTTACTTGGTGGGGTGGTATTCTACGGATTTGGAGGCAAAGTGGGAGGCGCACGAGTTGCGCCAACAACTTGACAAGTTGACGTGACCCCTCTTTGAGTCAGATGATAACGGCCAGCGGTCATCGACAGCTTTCCAGCTTGAATCCTTCAGAATATGATAGGCACGCCTAGAATAGAATCAGAACAAAACCTCAATTGCACGAAGTTCCGATTCAACTCGTGCCATCTTCGAGACTCGGTTGTCCCATTTGGCACACAGAGTCAACCCCAAGAACAGCCAATCTCACAGCGCCTTAATTTGTGCCCTCAGTCCTGGGCAGACCTATATTTTTCTTTCCCGTTCTTTGGAAATCATGGCAACTCCCATAATTCCCCCGCTGATGCGAGCAGCTCAGATAACGGAAGTCGGTTTCATGATGCCATAACCTCGAAGAAGACAGTTGAGGGAAAACTAATTCCAAGCCCCAGTACAACAAACCATATGAGCTAGTCGAGAGGGAAACTCCGGCCATTCGCACCAATGAGCTACTTATCAGAGTTCATGCGGCCGGATTCTGCCATTCGGATCTACAAGTTCTACAAGGACAATTCAATTCGCCCTTGGGCATGATCGCATCTCATGAACCTGCCGGCATCGTGGTTCAGGTCGGCAAAGACTGCAGCGGGAGTTGGGAGGTCGGCGATAGAGTTGGTGCTCTCAACTACAAGAACTCATGCGGAAAATGCAGTGGCTGCAGTTTGGCACTGCGTACTAGCAAGAAACAGCGCCTGGACCCAAGATTTTGCGAAAAGCGAGAAACTGCCGGCTTTCATCATGATGGGGCATTTGCCGAGTATCTTACCGTAGATCCGGAGACCGCCGTCAGCCTACCGCCATCTCTGTCTTTCGAGCAAGCAGCGCCATTAATGTGTGCAGGGGCTACAGTTTGGGGCTCACTAGAGAAGGCAACAAGTGAGCTGGAGACAGGAGATACGGTGGCCATTGTCGGCATCGGAGGTCTGGGCCATCTCGGTTTACAATTTGCCAGCGCCATGGGCTTCCGCACCATAGCTGTTGATAGCCGACCAGCAGGAAGGCAGCTCGCTACTGAGATGTTTAGCGATAATCTCAGGCCTGCACTGGTGGTGGACTCTGGCTCGGAGCATGCGACTTCTCAGATCATGGACTTTACGAACGGTGAGGGAGTAGCCGCAGTTGTTGTCTGTACAGACTCCCTGTCAGCCAACAGTTGGGCTTTGACACTCCTCCGAATTGGAGGCGTAATGGGAGTTCTGGGCTTGCCTGCTGAGAATTGGAGGTTCGACTCTAGCGTCATCGTTTTTAGAGAGCTCACGATTCGGGGAAGTTATGTTGCGAGTCGGGAATCCACTGAAAGGATGATGGAGGCCGTGGAGAGGGCCAGCATTAGGTCTCACATCACTCTGATGTCGTTTGACGAGATCCCGACTATTGTCACTGCTTATCAGGATAGCGGTTTCAAAGGCAGGCTTGTGGTGCGCATAGCAGACTGAGGAGACTCCATCGTCTTAGTATGTTAGATTGCTAGCAGTATCGAATCTTATCTTGTACGCCATAGAAATAGTGTCATTGTGTATCCGTGGTACGAGAAGATTGTTTGGGTAACACTCATCACTCATGGGTAGAATTTCCTGCTTTTTCGATAAGACCGCAGACGCCCTATCCCGGTCCGGTCAGCACAACTGTCACAACAGCGTAAGGTAATCTAAGTTACCACATAGCCAGTCAATTAATTCGATCCAATGCGATGGAGTTTCAAAGCTTATTCCTATCTAACCCCAACTTTCTCTCTTGTAGCCGCTTTATGGATAGTGAGTTACCTATGCCAGCGCTCGTGGTGGTGGAGTTGGGGTCGGTAAGCTGTGTCTCCAAATTCTCATCACTCACCCTTCGAATTACCCCAATGCCCCTCCCTCCACAAACCTCGTACCACAGTAGGTTCGACTACGGATACTGGGGCTTGGAGGCACAGAGTAGCGGGGACATTCTGCGGATATTGCCATCGCGTTCGTTAATGTCGACTTCATTCTGTTTGTCATCGGAAACCCGCCTTCGCCACAGATTGACCCAATGGCCCGCGGGAAGAGTCCCCGAGAATTTCTCGCGGCTTCGGCATGGATGTCACTCTCGAGTCTTTATGAACAGCATGCTGGCTAATCAGTCGTTACCACAATCAATCGAAAGGCATCGGTGACCAGCGATCCCGCAGAACAACGTCGACGATTGCCGCCTCCCAACATGTCTGTTTTCTTCAAAGACATCTCCACGTAAGGACCTATTCCAGTCTGCTCGGTTCAAATGCTAACAGGTATGCCCTAGGGATAATCCCGTGCAGAAAGGCGACGTCGAAAAGCTACTCGAGCCACTCGGTTTGACGATCAAGGCCGAGGAGTCGGCCGATTACCAGAGACTGCTTGCTGCAGTTCACGATTGTGCAACCCGGATCGACAGCCTCCCAGACTACCAGCCGGTCCCCGACACGAAACGATACCCTCGAGAGAATGTACATATACCTACGGCAGAAGAACAAGAGTTTGGGCATGCGTGGGCACATCGATTCTTGATCAGGGGCGATAAGTCTGCTTCTGATTCCTCTTCGGTATGCCTGAAAGGCAAGACTGTATGCTTGAAGGATTGCATTGCCGTAGCAGGCGTTCCGCAATTCTTCGGCAGCGATGCTTTCCCTCCTTGGACGCCATCGACAGACGCGACAGTCGTTACACGGGTACTGGATGCCGGAGCCGATATACTGGGCACTGCTACATGTGAGCACTTTTGCAACTCGACGGCATCCTTCACCAGCGCGCAGGGCACGATCGAGAACCCTTATCAGGAAGGCTACTCTACCGGTGGCAGCACCTCTGGGGGTGCCGCCCTTGTTTGTTCTCGAAAGATTGATATTGCGTTGGGCACAGATCAAGGCGGTAGTATCCGGGTTCCAGCTTCATTTTGCGGCTGCGTCGGTGTGAAGCCTACCCACGGTCTAGTGCCATTTACCGGAGTCACAAGTGGCGATGCTATCGACGACCATGCAGGGCCCATTTGCCGTTCAGTCGCAGAAGCTGCTCAATGTCTTGATGTGATCTCCGGATACGACGGCATCGACGATAAATCTCTAGGCGCTGCAGCTCATGGCTCCTACAACTTCTCTGCTGCTCTATCAGCGAGCTCCGGTCGTTTGGACGGAATGAAGATTGGCCTTTTGAGAGAGGGCTTTGATCAAGAGATTGTTGACCCCAAAGTCAAAGAACACGTCCTTTCGGCCGCCCGCAAACTGGAGTCTCTGGGAGCAATCGTTGAGGATGTATCTGTCCCTCTTCATCTGGAGGGCCCTTCAATATGGACAATACAACAACGTATCGCGGGCTCGTCGGGGATTCTGGGGAGAGCTTCGGGACACAGAGGTCTTGGTCTGACTGAGTTTGAAAAGGCACGGCTGCCCTGGGTCGACTCGAGCTTTCAAAAGCTCTTCCCCTCCACAAAGAACACATTCATCAACGGCTTGTATCTTTCGGACAAGTTCCCGGGTCTCTACAGCAAAACGGTCAACATCGGTCGGCAGATCAGCGACGCCTACCAAAGTAAGTTTCAAACGTACGATGCGATAATCATGCCAACGACTCCTTTCGTGGCACCGCGACATGGGTCTCGAGAGTCAGTGTTGGGTTCATTTGAACCCACCATAGGATTGACAACCAATACCGCCGTTTTCAACGTGACCGGGCATCCAGCATTGTCAATACCCGTGGGATTCGTCGCCGCTAAGGATGACGCCCAGGTCTTACTTCCTGTAGGCATGCAATTTGTCGGAGGGCTATGGCAAGAAAAGAAGATTCTCACCATTGCACATGCGTGGGAGACCAACTTTGACTGGAAGAGCGCCACAAACACCACCGAAGCTCCTGAGTCTGTTCCGGAGACCCTAATAACGGGCCCAAATGTCAAAGTCAATGGCAGGACAATGCCTGAGGTGAACGGCACAACTTCACCAAATCTTAATCGTGTGAAGCTGTCCGTCTGAGAGCCGTACGAGAAGTGGTCAAAAGGGCCGTGTTCGAGGCATGCTATTTCGGCTCGGTGCCTACGGCTCAAGGGGGTTGATATTTACAGCGCGAAAGCATCTAGCATAAAATAGAAGTACGCCATGGGGATTTTTCACATCATCTCGCCCTTTGTCTCAATCTCAAGGACCCAATGCCAATTACCTATGCCACACACACACAATCTCTCTCTCTCTCTCACTCATTCATGGCTCATAGCTCCGCCATGTGCCCGCCTGGTTGTCTCGCAATTCCGCATTTGACATACAAGTCTCGGTCAGGCAATTCTGGAGATGGAAGTTTGCGGCTCAATTCTCCCCAACAAAGGGGAGAGCGACTTGGCATACTCGCCAGAACTTCTCAATTTCACTTCCCCGCACCACGGCACAATCCGTACTACCGTAGTAACCAAAGTCACCCTCGCCGCTCGGCCACCGCGGCGAGAGGGCTCATGCTGTGCCTCGCTAATGTCAGAGATACAAATACTGGTCAAACGCAAGACTGACATTGGTCGGCTCGCTTCTATCCCTGTCTCCCCACAAGAACCTCAGCAAGCAGAATATGTTTGGTCGCACAGATAACTCTCCGCCCGGCTATCGTCTGAGTGAGCGCTTCCGGAATGATTCACTTCATTCCATCTCCACCGCCGAACGGTCGCCAAATTCTCCCAGCTGACGAGTGGACAAGCACAGCCCAACACCATTCCCAAAGCTGCTCCTGGCGGCTTACTGCGTCTGGAAACAGAGGGTTAAGGCCTGCCAACTTGAGCATACATCCGAGACAGAAACATGGTCCGTAAAGGAAGCCCCAAAGTTCGGACTGGATGCATCACCTGCAAGTAAGTCTACTAGGCGTGTCAGGCTATCAGCTATCCAGGCTGTGCCGCACTTACGGGGTCCATATATCTCCATCTGATCAGCGCCTAATTAACGTTCTTTAGAACCCGCAAAGTCAAGTGCGACGAGGCTAAACCAATATGCAATCGCTGCACCAGTACAGGCAGACGCTGCGATGGTTACAGACCCGCTCGTCAAGGAACCGTATCCCTACACCAGCCAAACCAGGTCTTCCCAGGAGTCACCAAGGTCAGCGAGGGTCGAGCTCTACAGTACTTCTGTGAGATAGCGGGACCAGTAATGTCAGGAGCTGTGGATCCCTATTTCTGGACACACGTCGTCATGCAGTTCAGCAACTTCGAGCCGGCCGTCAGACACGCCGTCATTTCCATCAGCAATCTCTATGAAGAGGCTCAGGGCACTTTTGAGGCTACTGCCGTTGTACGTCACAGCAATCAAAATTTGGCCCTCCACCACTACAATGCCGCTATTCAGGAGTTAAGGGCCATGGACTCTCAAGAAAAACAGCCCATAATCTTGCTCGTTTGCGTTCTCTTTATCTGCGTGGAGATCATGCGCGCCAACAGAAAAGCAGCACTGCAGCACAGCAGGCATGGTGTCGAGATCTTGAAAAACATCTCTCCCGACTACATGTTCTCGTGGACCATGGAGCACCTCCTACCCATATTCCGGCGGCTTAGCGAGTTTGCTCTCTTCTTCGGCGACGAAGAGTCGGATTTCCCTGACATCAGGGCCCTAGAGGGTCCCATGCCGCAATTCTTCTTGACATTCTCAGACGCGCAGCTGATGCTCGATGTCCTCTTCAATCGAACAGCAGAATTCATGCGCACCCAGCGCAACACACAACGAGCCGCTTCAAAGTCACCTGAACCTGATGAAACCGGAACACCGCCTCCTAGTCTTCTCTCTGAGCAGGCCGCTATCAACAGTCTCCTAGGCCAGTGGTTCAAGCTCTACAACGATTTCATGGCTATCAAACCCAAGGAGGCGCCAACTCAAAACAGTCAGAACAGCAAGTCAGACTCAGATCGACCAAAGATGCTGCAATGCTTTCTTTTAACTCGTTATGAGTGCTGCTGCATATGGCTCAACATGGCATTCGATACAAGCGAAGCCGGCTATGACAGATACATCACCAACTTCCGGAGGATTCTAAAGCGGCTCCTCTGGCTAGAAGCAGAGGTCCCGGACCCTTTACGCTTCAATACCTCAAAACATCCGCATTTCATCTTCGAAGCTGGGTTTGGCGCTATGCTTTTCTTTCTAGTCTCATCTTGTCGTGAACTAGAAACACGACTAGAGTTCTTACGGCTTATGCCGGTGTTGGGTCTCCCGCGGGAAAATCTTTGGGAAGCAGACGTCCTAGTTGCGGCTGCAAGGAAAATAATTGAGCTCGAGCACGACATCAAATTGGATATACATGGGCGGCCTGTGTCTTCACCATCGTTCGTGCAGCCTCCTGGGGAGATGAGGGTAACAGACCTGTGGACAGAATCTCAGATGAGACCGGACAGTCTGCAAATGGACGACCAGGGTGTCTCCCATCGAACGATACAGGTTGTGAGGAGAGACTCCAAGGGTCAGACCTATCTGCAGTCCGAGAATCTTGTCGTGAATGGTAGGATGACTGGGTAGCATGCGGGCAAGGGAACTCAAATCGTAACAAACTTAACACTTTGGTATGAAATTTAATGTGTGCCGGCTTTGTCGGCTAAGCGGCTTCCTCTGTGTTCAGGTTAGAGCCTCGACGGTACCGAAACGGAAAAGGAAAAGGTCCTGTCAGCACTTCACAGATCTGATTGCGGAAAGTGTTACCACGAAGCAGCACGGGCTTGGTCGTGTTTGACGAGTTTCGAGTTGTTATTATCACTTCTCAATTGATGGTGTAGCCTCCGTCGACTACCAGAGCGTGGCCTTGGATGAAGCTGGCTTGGCTTGAGCACAAGAACAACACCGCGTTAGCCACCTCCTCGGGTGTCCCCATGCGCTTCATCGGCGCAATATCTATTGCGGGCCTCAGTCGCTGTACCAACTCTTCTGACGCTGTTGTCATCGGCGTGGCGATGACTCCCGGGCAGACGCAGTTGACCCTGATCTTGTCTTGCGAATAGTCAATGGCATCTGACCGTGTCATGTTGATGATTGCGGCCTTGGACGCACAGTACGGAGCTAAAGCGAAAGTATTGTGTGAGTAATCCTGCGACACGAGCTGGAGAAGTGGCTCAACATACCCGCAGCTGGCCGTGCCACAATGCCGAGTTGACTCGCGATATTGACGATGGCGCCGCGTTGGTCTGGGTGCTCCTCATGAGGTTGCTGTTCAAGCATACGGCTCAGGACCGCCCGAGAAGCCAGCCAACTACCCTTGTAGTTGACATTGGTAATGAGATCGAAATCGGCAGTTGACGTTTCGTGTGACCGTAGTGACTGGCCCAATATACCGGCGCAGCTTACTGAGTAGTCAATGCGTGAGAACTTCTTAGCAATGTCGCCAACGAATGAGTTGACGAAAACTTCATTCGAAATATCGCCTTCTTGACTAAACACCTGTGCCTCTGGGTTGATTTGTGAAATGGCATCTCTCGTATCCGCCAGTGATTTTTTATTGAGGTCTGTGATGGCAATTCTTGAACATCCTGATCGCGCGAAACCCTTGGCAACTGCAGCGCCAATGCCTACGTAGTTGAGTTAGAGCTTGAAGATGCGACGTTGTCACCTTGAGCTTCAAGGCCATGTGACTTGAAACTCACCGGTCCCTCCAGCGCCAGTGATGAAAGCAACTCCTGGAAATTTGAACATGGTGAAAGTTCGCAATGAAGTTATCAGGTAGCTTTGTCCTTGAGATGAATAGGTATGTAACTCCAAAGGCAGGTCCACTCTGATTGTAGAAGTAGACTTAACAGCAGTCAGTCTCAATTGTTGAATTGGCGTTCGGACCAGATCAGTGTCTCTTGGTCCACAAACACGTACTTGGTGGATACGGCGGGGAGAGCAAACAGCTTCCGAATACTCCGTACGGTTGGATGATACGGGTACGACTTCGGAGGAAAGCAGGGAAGGCCGACCTGTATGATGATCATTAACACTCTCGACAATAGACTCCAAAGGCTAATTCCGTGAGATAAGGGCGTCGGGTTGCAGGGTCGCAGGGTCGCAGGGTCGCAGGGTCGCAGGGTCGCAAGGAACCAAGGGGGTGTCTGATTACGAGTCAGTCTCCAAAGATAGCGGGCGATCCAATCCACGGCAGTTGGGGTTATCTCTGTCGAGCAAGACCCACCAGAAGCTGAAGTCTTCTCCAACATAAGCCTGAGGGATGCCCCAAAGTCTCTGCTCTCCAACTTACCCGGTCTCCTTCAACTCCAACACGCAACAAGTCCGAAGAGTCTCGCGAAGCGAAGGTGGAAAGGATGATGACCCACAATGGCACGAGTTCGCATCCACAACCGCACCCGCAGCCGTCATCGCAGCCGCTTCACCAGCAGCAGCAGCCGCAGCAGGCTCAGCTTCCGCGACCGCACTCGACTCCAGTCAAGCGGAGGAGACGAACCGGTCACGGCCCTGATGCGCGGTCCTGTCCTCACTGTGGGCGAACGTTCAAGCGCACCGAGCACTTGGAGCGCCATGTGCGAACGCGTCAGTCGTCCCATCTGTTCTCGTGTGCCCCCTCCCTCCCTCAGCTTCCTCCAAGTGTTGGAGTGATCTTTGTCTGGAGTCAACGACCATCTACCCCTCTTGCTGGCGCTACAAGATTAGCTCATTCCATGACCAAGTCCTCGGAATAGTGCCACGTGCTACGATGCTAACCGTCACGTTCTTCCAGACACTAAGGAGAAGCCATTCATCTGTCGATGTGGAGCTGCCTTTGCCCGGCGTGACTTGCTGACCCGCCATCAGCGGATCGCTTTCCACGAGGATGGATCCGAGTCTCCGGCAGTCCCATCGGAGCCGGACTCGGGAGAGACCCATGGGCCTGTTGAAGCTGATCTGGCTGCGGCTGTCTCCCTTTCGGGAATGAGCGTGGACCATTGGGCACAGCAACAACCTCCTGCACCACCGGCAGACCTGTATCCCATGGCGGTTCCAAGGAACGGCACTCTCGTAGATGCCTCATACCAACAGGCTTTGCTTGGAGATCAGTTCTATGAAAACGGTTGGTCGATGGTGCGAGCCCGCTTTACTGACTTTTGGAGGCTGATGCAAAAGTATCAGGCAATCAAGATGCTGTGGGATTTGACGCCCACTTCAGGGAGTTTGCCAACTTCCTCGATGGTGTTGGGCTGCCAGCGGAATGGAGTCCCTACTTCCACGGCCCTGACAGAGATCACGAAGCTACCGACACGACGGTGAGAATGTCAAGAGAAGGGACTACTACGCCGGGGGCTCGTAACAGTAGGACTCGGCCAGGGACACCTTTCAGTTCATGGCTACCGTCAGCGCCCACTGGCAATCGGATATCTGAAACCCTCCCAGATACAAGTAGGTCTCTTTTGAACGGCTTGCGTATTGTCGAGAGCCGCCCCGACTAACGTGGTATCAAGACCCACGGTCCGTCGACATTGAGTCACAACCGTACCGTATCTCAGACGAGCAGCGGTATCGTCTCAACAGCTCTATCGAAACATTTCGGGAAATTCTCGATCCAGACTTCAAGTTTCCATCACGACATGCTTTATCGCGCTATCTGACCTCATTCTTTGAAGGCTTCCACTCACACATGCCGTTCATCCACACACCAACATGGCGAGTCCCTGAACACTCCATTGAACTCGTTCTCGGCCTTGCGGCAGTCGGCGCCCAGTATTGCTTCGAGCATCGCATGTCCGAGAGACTCTTTCACGCTGGCAAGGCCATTCTCATGGAGAGATTGATGCACGAGTCTGAAACGTTTGGTGCGAAGACCGGTTCATCCCTTAATCTTCATAACCTCACACCACAACGCCGCGCCTCGCAGGGTTTTCAAGAGAGGGACTGGGGTCCATGGGAACCAATAGAGACAGTTCGAGCCCTGATTGCCCTCATGGGCTACGCCACTTGGGAACCCAAAGTGTCACTCGTGCAGGAAGCATTCGCTCTACAGGCATTATTGGCACAGATTCTTCGAGAAGTTGGTCTTTACGAAGAGGATGTTCCTCAACTTCCTGCCGACCAGACCACTCCGCAAGCCGCCTGGCAGGCATGGGTGCGACAGGAGTCGACGCGCCGAGCCAAGCTCATTGCTTTTTCCTTTATGCACACTCACAGCATCGCATATAACGTGTATCCTGTGTTACGTAGCAACGAGGTTGGCCTTCGACTCCCTTGCTCGACTGGAGAGTGGAAAGCGCAGTCGGCGTGTCAATGGCAGACGGCGCGAAGGGAGACTGAGAAGCAACAACTGTATTTCCAAGACGCTCTTTCATTGCTCCTGAGGAACACAGACGGCACCGCTCCTGTTGACCCTATTCCAACACCACTGGGTAACTACATCCTCTTGCATGGGCTCCTCCAGAGGATCTACATTGTCCGCGATTTGTCCCTCCCCGTCATGGACCATTCGGCGTCTCTTCCTAGCGAGGAGGTTGACAAGCTCGAGTTAGTCCACCTGCCCATCTTACCGCTCAATTCGTGATGTAATACTAACTTTCCGATACAGACGAGGCCTACGCTCGTGGACTGCAGGATGGCAGCAAGCCCCCGAATCCAGTCTTGATCCCAACAACGAGAATGGACCCATCCCCTTCACATCCAGCTCTCTGCTCGGCCTCGCATACGTGCGCATCTATCTTCACCTTGGACCATACCGACTCCTCGAATCTCGAGACCCCGTGCGTATCGCCAAGGCCATCAACCGGTCTCCTGCCGTGGAACGAAGTGGTGGCGTCATCACCGCGCTGTTGTACACTGCTCATATGCTCAGCATCCCTGTGCGACTTGGAGTTGACCGTGTCGCGCGGAGCCAAGCATTCTTCTGGAGCGTTCGGCACTCGCTCTCAGGACTTGAGTGTGCCGTTCTTCTCAGTAAATGGCTCTCGTCACTGACTGAATCTGTTGCGACGACGCCTCTGAGTGGTAAGCTGCCCCGCATTTGTTCATGCTGTTGTCTTGAGATCTCTGTGCTGACATGCGAGCAACAGACAGCGAAGATAGGATCCTGCACTGGGTCCGATGCATTGTCGAAGAGGCGTACGATGTTGTTGATTTTGAAGACGATGAGCCCGACACATCAACAGATCGAGATCCTGCCTCACTGAGCCTGGCCGTTCTGAGAATATGGGCACATTTTTTCAAGAGCAACACTCAATGGCCTTTTATCAATATCATGGGAAAGAGCTTGGAGAAGTATCGCGAATTGCTTATGCGCAGCAGAAAGCGGCCAGTTACCTGATGCTGCAAACATCATCATTGGTGAAAGCTTCGACATGGAACCATCACGAAGATGGAAGAGCGATTTCACGTAAAAAGAAGTGCATCCTCTGGAGTATACGACGGGTACCGAACCAGTTGAAACGTAGCCATGGATATCGGAGTGGTGGGGTTCTGTCGCCCTCGCCATCCAAATGCTCCGTGGCGTCCTTAGTGCTGACGAGGGAGTACCCGGGGGGGGGGGGGGGGGGGAGGAGGAGGAAGAGGGGGGTGATTGCTTATAAGCTTAACGGTCTGCCCTACCTAGAACTCCAAGGCCTGCTGTCCCTCGGGCAACTTCAGCTGGAATCAAGGGGATCTCGAATTCTTGCCGTTGAGTGCGAAGTCGTTAACTCCGCTTACTCGCCTGATGTCAACAAAACGCCTCCATGGCCACCCCCGAAGAGAAAGCTCGAGATGCTGGGCCTCCCAAGGTCTTGGCCGTCGGCATGCTTCGCACGGGCACGAACTCACTCGCAGCCGCCCTCTCTGAACTCGGCTTCGAGCACGTCTTTCACGGTCTAAATTCCCGGACGAAACCAACGCACTGGGCATTCTTCGAGCGAGCCGCCATTGCAACTTGGCCTGAAGTCAACGCGAAGGGCCAGTCTCCTCCTACGCCATTCAGTCGAAAAGACTGGGATGAACTCTTTGGGCCGTACGACGCGGTGACGGACCTGTCGTGCTTTTGGGCACTGCAGCTGATTGATGCCTATCCCGAAGCCAAGATCATTCTCACGGAACGCGACTTTGATAAGTGGTTTCCGAGCTTCGATAGCCAAGTCATCCAACCGCTGTTCGGGCCATGGGTCGACTTGTTTCTCAAGGGTGTAGGCATAGTGATTCGCAACAGGGCTGGATTCGCAATGCAGAAGACTCTCAGCGGTTTCTTTGGTGGTGCTCGTACAGTTGAGGAGCTGCATCGCCGAGCGCCGGAAGTCTTCCGAGAGCATTCAGAGCGCATCAAGGCTCATGTAGCGCCCGAGAGACTCTTGGTGTATCGCGTCGGCGAGGATGGGTGGGAGCCTCTTTGCGAGTTTCTTGGGAAAGAAGTGCCTAAAGGCAAGGCGTTCCCGAGGGTAAATGACAAGGCTTCGCATACTGAGTCGGACAGAGTCATACGCCGAGCAGCTTGGATCCAGGCTGCTCGGACGATTGCGCCGTACGCTGTTGCCATCACGGCTGCGTACGTAGGGCGTGTCTATTGGAGCCGCATCGCGTGAAGATAGCTGATAGTTGCGTGGACAACTCAATATAGTATGGAATGGGACTTGAGGATCGTCGTAAATCGTTGAATCAATTGAGGATCCGATGTGATGCCATGTTGTCTCAATAGCGATTCTTGGTGACAGGAGAGACGGGGAAGCGATAAGATGAGATGGCGATAAGGTAGATCTACCTTATCTAACCGTGGAACGCTGACATAAGGCGGTTTTTGGCGGAGGCCCGCCAAAGTGGGCAGCTTCCCGGTCCACTGTCCCAGCAACTGCTCCTAAGGTACCCCTCCACGACCGCCATCCCCGTCGTCGGGGTCCACTCGCCAGCTAACGTAGCGGCGCCGCATCTCGAGCTTCAAACACCACCTCACCACCACACACTCCGCTCCTCACCGCATCCGCCTCGGCCTCTAGCTTTCCTACATAGGTGTAAATATACTCCATCACCTTCTTCGGTCCTCCGCTACAACCTAAAAGTCCAATTGTACACGTACTCCTCCAGACGCACCTCGGTCCTCAACCGCCAAGATGCAGTCAGGCATCTCGGGTTCGTACTAACTGCACAACTCTCGACGGAGTTCTCGTGGTCCCAAGAGCTAACCCCCGGCAGCCTCTGAGGAGCTCATCTCCCAATTTAATACTCTCCTGTCCACAGACAACCACTTCGGACTCCTCATCACCATCGAAGCCGAGACCCTTAAGCCCGTTCAATTCCTCGAGAAGACATCCCCCTCCGCCTCGTTCGACGACAACCTCGCTTCCCTCCAGCCTCATCTCAAGCCCAACGAGGCCCTTTATGTTATTCTCCGCCGCTATGACACCGCACCGCATTTTGCAGCCGTGAGCTACGTCCCAGACTCGGCCAAGGTTCGCCAGAAGATGCTCTTCGCGTCCACCCGCCTGACCCTAGTCCGAAAGCTTGGCTCCGAACACTTCCGCGAGTCCATCTTTGCCACCATGGCAGAGGAGCTTTCGGCCAAAGGCTTCGCCAAACACGATGCTCACACCGAGCTCGAGGCTCCGCTGACGGAGGAGGAGCGCAGCCTCGGCGCCGTTAAGCAGGCCGAGCAGGAGGCCAGCACTGGTACGGGGACCAGGGAGATCCACCTTAGCAAGACCCTGGCCATGCCCGTTGCCGAAGATGCTCTCGCCGCACTCAAGGAGCTGTCACCGGATAGTGGCAAAACATTGGTGATGCTGGTACGTTTGAAACCCCGTGCCGCTTCTCCCTACTGTAGCCTCGTTGGCAGGTCGACTGACTGACTGCCTGTACACAGAAAATCAACCCCGAAAAGGAGTCCGTTGAGCTGGTTCCCTCTAGCGAGAGCCCCTCCTCCATCACCGAGCTCACGCAAACCATTTCCTCCACCGAGCCGCGCTTCACTTTTTACCGATTCAACCACACCCACAACGGCGCCGAGTCGAGCCCCCTGCTCTTCATCTACACCTGCCCTGTCAACACTGGCAACAGGTCCATCAAGAACCGCATGCTGTACCCTCTCATGAAGCGCGCCGTCCTCGATGTCGCATCCAGCGAGGCAGGATTGACGCTCGATAAGAAGCTCGAGGTCGAGGACCCAAGCGAGATCACCGAGGACACGGTTCTCTCGGAGCTACACCCCAAGGTGACGGTTCGACAAAACTTTAGCAGACCCAAGAGACCCGGTCGGTAAACGGATAACACAAAAGTCACGGCGGACTTGTGAAAGAAAACGTCGGAACCCAACGCGTGGGAAGCATTTCATAGCCTAGGCCCGTAGATCGGGTGAATGATAGACAAGATTTCATTCGCAATGCAGTACCTTCTATGAACATTGTGCTCCTTTGCATATCTACAACTTGCACGTTTTCCAGTCTACTACGTTGCGCATCCTTGTCTTTTCAGAATCACAGAGCCACCACCCCTTGACAGCACGCAGATAAGACGCTGGTATCTTGCAATCGACAGACAACCCTCCTCCTCCGACTTCTTCATGAACTAGAATGTATCACGACCGTGACGACCGTACGATTTACTCCTCGTAGCCGGCCCCAGAGAAGGCAATGTTGCCCTTCTCCAGCTTCTCCTTGAGGAATTCGTAGACGGTGAAGGTCACAGCCTGGCCGGGCGCAACTCGCATGATACGCGGCGTGATGCCCTTGTAGAAGGCGTGGAATCCTTCTTGCCTATTGACAGAGTCAGTACTGATTTCACGTAGACGCCAACCCGTAACGGAAAGGAGACGGAACCATCCACATACTTGAACATGTCGGCCGAGATCTTGGTGATACGACTCCACGCGCTGACCCCGTACTCGGCCGGCGTCTTTTGCAACCTCGTCTTGATGGTATCAATCGGCGCATTACTCAACGGGCCCATGGCGCCACTGACGAGTCCAATCAGCGTCGTCTGGTAGCCCGGCAGCGTCGTCTTCTCAAACTCGGGCTGGTACTTCTTGAGGGCCTCCTTGAAGTACGAGTAGGCTGTGAAGTTGACGGCCTGGTTGCTGCCCTGTCGCAGAGCCGTCAGCGACACGCCGCGGTACAGCGCGCTGAAGCCCTCCTCTTTGACGACCGTGTAGAGCGCGTGCGCGGCGTTGCGGTACTTTGGGATGTCGAGGGGATCGGCCATGCTGTGGTGTTGCGCCTGGAGACGGATCTTGATGACCTCCATTGGCGTTACGACGGCGACGGCTTCCGTGACACCCGCAGCGAGACCGGCTGTTCAAACACACAAGGTCAAAGGTCAGTCTCCCCTGACATGCTAAAAGAAATGGTAGCCTTCTTTCTGGAATGACTCACCCATGAATGTTGCCTGTCCACTGACGATCCCCGTGTTCTTATCCGCCAAAGCATTCTTGTACCCCTCGAAACTCGTAAAGCGGATGGCCATCTTGGGCACGATACCCGTCAAGACGGCACCGAGACCCTTGTACAGACCCAACGGCGTCTCCTTTTTGACAATCTCAACACCAGTCTTGACGAAGCCGCGCTTGGGTGCGCCGGGCTGCCTCGCGCGTCGCGACAGCTGCATTCGGACCTTGATCGTGTCTGTGGGTTTCGTTCCATGTCAATTGACTTTGTTCCTTGCAAGAGGTTCGGGTAGGTGTTTGTGCTTGCGCATGCATATGCGCGCGCGCAGTGGGAGGCAAGTCTTAGTCTTGCAAGGAAAGGAGGGAGTCTTACCGAGGGGATGACATGCCAATGCCTCCATCATACCTGCACCACCTCCGGCTGTTGGTCGTGTTAGTGACGATGCCTATATGCCGCGCCGGTCTTGCGAGAGGAGGTGTACATACCCATGAGGTTCACGGCCGCCGAGGTCGGCGCCTTGCCGTCTTGTTTTACCTTGGACGCCATGACGCACGATGTAAAGGGTATATGGTATTGATAGAGAAGAGGAGGAGGGGAGAGGGAGGAAGAGACAGCAAGTCTTGCGCCGGAACCAACAAAGAAGATATCGAGCAGTGGTGTTGTTGGTCTAGAGTATAGATGGGATGCGAGATGCGTCACAGTAAATAAGAGGAGAAGCAGGGTATCATGAGAGTCACAAGGGAGAAGAAGCAGGCATGGGAAGAAGTCGGAATAGGATAAGAAGAAGGTTCGGAACAAGTCGCTGCCAGGGACCTACAAAGGCAAAGCCAAACATCCTCGGCGCCGACGACAGAAGCCACGGCAGAGCGGGCACTCATGTATATAAAAGGTGGCGCATACGGGACTGACTACTGACTAGGTAGCAGATGGAGGGGGCACGGGAGGAAGGGAGGGGGGTGGTCAATGTTCAAGGCACGCAGCACAAGCCAGAATAGAATCAGGACAGGACAAGCAGATGACTCGAGGTTTCGTCCCGAGCACAGGCGTGTAAGGCGGTCTTGGTCTTGTCTTGGGGAGAGAGAGAGGGTGTGAGTGTGACATGCCATACACACCGGTAACGGGGACTGATGAAAGTCTGATGAGCTAGACAAGAAAAACATATGAGGAGAAGGTCTTCTCCATCCCCCTTTCACCCGCGGCACAACGAGGCCAGCCAAATAGATATCAGCGTTAAGCCTAGGACGGGACACACCAGCGCCAGGGGTTTCGGTAAACCGGGCGCGTGAGGGGGAAGGGGGGCGTGTACGGATAGACTTCTATGCCTTCTATGCTGCTAAAGGAAATCAGACTGAAGAGAAGAGAAGAGAGAGGCAGCACGGGACCGATGTCTGAGTGGCTCAAACCATTGAAATCTTCAGACGTCTGTGACTCTGTAGCGGGTTGCGCTGCGACAGACCATCCCGATTCGGCGGAACGGAGGCTTGGTGGGGTGCGATTGGCATATTGGAGACCGCAAGCGTAGACTTCTCTTCATCTTCTTGGTATTGCTGCTGGGTAACAATCTCCAATTGGCTTCCAATAGAGCGTTGTACGGATACTGGCTGGACCAAAGGAGCTGAGCTGCGTGCCTCCATGCTGACGGTGAAGCTGTTCTGGTCATGTGCTGTGTTGTTCATCACTTGCTTCATGATGTCTCTTCGTTCTTCGTTTCTCGAGGATTCCTCAGCCTGTGACATAGGTATCACTCCACACCCAAAAGTGACGTAGCGGTAGTTGACCCCGTTCCACCTCAGTTCCATTTCCAGCGTGCGGCATGCTGCGGCAAAGTACTCCGTAAAAGACACACACCGAAAGGGGAGAGAATTGGGGCCCAACTCGCAGCTTTGCCGACCCCAAGCCGAGCTTGTGATTTTGCGGGGGAAGAGGCGACTCACTGCCAGCCGCTGCTGCTGCTGCAAGGAAGTGCGGAACTGGGAGTCAGAATGTGGGGACCTGGGGGAGCCGGCTACTTCCGCCCTTCCGACTGGCCAGACTCATTCGCCAGAAGTTGCCGAGGTTCGGACGCTGGTCCTGGCCTCACTCTGTCACTCACTCACTCACTCACTCACTCACTCACTCCCTTCTGTCCTTCACTCCTCTATCTCATGGAGGTTCACTCTCTTGTGTGACTAACACAATCTGTACTTTGGTCAGTCTCACTATCATTATCATATTAATGAAGGAAATTCCCATCTATCGAACTTATCTCATTCACCCACACTCCGGACACCCGCAAGTGACGGATTTCAATAGACATGAGTGAATCAAGCCACCTTCCGATACTCTTCCAGCTTAGTCACGTCAGGCACCGCCTCATGGCCTCATGGCCTCACGGTGTCCACCTGGTGAAGGCTGGTGGAGGGACGGGAAACTAGCTTGAACCCGGTACTGGTGCTGGTGTTGATTTGTGACGCCAGTATCAGATGAAAGTCGCAAGCGGGTGAGGCTGACAACGTGTGCCTGTGCGTGTGAGTGTGCGACAAAAGCATGTGAAAACCAATGTTACGACTCGTAACTTTTGTACTAGATTAAAATGAGGGCTCATGATGTATCCCATACTTGGACAAGCGCGCCGCTAGATTTTTCCCTCCCATGCCTCCCAACCCAATTCCCTTTTTTGGTTTTCCTATCGGGTGAGTTGAGCAAAACAAAAATCAACCCTGAAACGCCATCCATATGATCGGGCTTCTTCCCCGTCCCAGTACCGACCGGTCCCGGTCCCGGTCCCTGTGGTCCACGAGGACATCTAAAATAATCTGAACAAGAAGAGATGAGCTGCAACGAAATCGCTTCTTCGTTGTGCAACAGTGTCCGTCTCTCATAAATCGCCGTTGGGGAATCGTCTCGCAAAACTCCCGCCTAAAACAATGTAATCCTTTTGCAAGGAGGAAGGGAAACCCAGAAACAAAACACAAAATCTTCCATCGCTGTCCTACTACGCTGGAGTACCACATTCCTCGAGGAGAGGCGCCTCTGCCTCGAAGCTGTATAGGCGCACTTCGCCGTCTTCACTTCCGCTGGCCATGCGGCTGTCGGTCAAGCCCACGCAGGTGACGGGGCCAGAGTGACCGGTGAATGTCCGCTCACACTTGCCGCTCTTGGGCTCCCAGACCTTGACCATGGAGTCGTTGGCGCCCGTGACAATTCGCAGAGTGTCACCGACGAGGCCCCAGATACCTTCGACGTGACCAAACATGGTACGGAGGCATTTGCCCGTGTGGATGTTCCACACCTTGACCGTGTTGTCGAGACCGGCTGTGAGCATATAGCGGGGCGGCAGCTGCCGGGTGGGGTCCGAGTTGAAGGCGCACCCAAACGACGTCCGGTCGTCCTCCGGTGGGGAACTCGCTTCTGCTCCGCCGAAGGAGGACCCGAGAATCGACGCCACGTTGGCAAACGCCGTCGGAGTCGTGCTCCGGCCGCTGCCGCTGTGAACTGACGCATTGTCGGCGCCATCACCAGCGAGTGCCTCTTCATCGGGCTCAAAGTCCTCCGGCATCAAGAGAATCTGTTGCACCTGGCCCATGTGGCCCTCAAAGGTCTTGATGCATGTCTTGTTCCGCAGATCCCACAGTCGGACAGTGCAGTCATCCGAGGCTGAGAAGAGCGTCTGCGATCCGGCGTCCAAGCGAACATGGTTGACCCAGTCCTCGTGGCCACGAAGGCAGAATGTTTCTTTGCTGTCAAAGTTGAAAATCTTGATCGACTTGTCAATGGACCCCGATGCAAGGTACTTTCCATCAAAGTCGACCGTGATGACACCTTCGCTGTGACCACGCAGGGTGCTGATACAGTCGCCCGTCTGCCAGTTCCACACCTTGACTGTGTGATCCAAACTGCCACTGAAGAGCTTGTTGCCGACGAACTTGAGGGTGCGGATACCCATGGTGTGTCCGCTCAGAGTGCGGATCTCCTCTCCTGTCTCAATATTCCAAATCTTGATCTTGGCGTCGTAGGATCCTGTGGCGAGGATCTCATCATCGAACTGCAAGCAAGTCACACCGTTGTCGTGTCCCTTGAAGGTCTTGATGTGGCATCGACCATACTTCCAGTTAAAGCCAACCCTGAAACGGTCACGGTAGACACTCTTCCACGGCCGAATGAGACGTTCTCTCTCCTTCTCCCCTCCGGTCTTGGGTGCCATGGGTTCGCCCGGGTCGCTCAGGCAAGCACGCTTTCGGCTGTCGTCGAGAACAACCAGTTCACGCTTCTTGTTCATGTTGGGCGACGACGCTACCGGGGCCTCTTCGACCTGTTCAACCTCTTCGACCTGTTCAGCCTCTTCGACCTGTTCAACCTCTTCGACGACGGCATCCTGTTGTAGGCTCCTAGCTTCGGCGAGCTCCTTTTGCTTGTTCCAGTCTCGCAGCCTCTTGCGCTCCAGGAGAGGAAGGCCAAAGCCGCACTTGGTACACTTGCGGTCGATGTGTTGCTCGCACATGCGGTGCCAGACAACGTCGTCGTCGGCAAGGTCCCGCCACCTTCGGCTGACCTGGGCGGCCTTGCAGAGGGAGACGGTGTCGAGGTAGCCGAGTACCTTGTATGAGATCTCGGTCGGGAGCGCAGCCATGAAGTCGATCTTGAGCTGTTCGTGTACTTCGCGGGAGACGGTGGATAGTTGAGGGAAGCAGCACTGGGTGATGATACCCTGGAGCATCAGGTCGCGGTGCTTGGCGGGGGCGGCGGAGAAGAGGGACCACACGTGTGTGATGGCTTGCTGATCGGCGGAAGGCAGCTTATCGAGTTCCTGTGCGCCAGACGTGTCAGCACGGAGTCGATAGGCCCTATGGGCATCAACACAAGACGGGCTTACACTTTGGATCAAGACCATCTTGGACTCATCAGCCGCGCGACGACACTTTGCGTCGGGGCGGTGACGATAGCAGAACTTGCTGTTGGTAGGGTCTCGCTTCTGGATGAGCGAGTTGTTTTCGTTTTGGACATCGGGCTTTCCGATGGGAGCGTAGATGCCGGGGATATGTTCTCGGAGGAAGGGCGTAACTGTCTGGCCGACGAGTTGGGTGGGCATGTTCGCGGGGAACTTTGAGACTTCTCCTTCGTCAGATCTTCGTCTGTCGCAGTTGTCTCTAGATGGATGGTTCGCAGTAGTCACATCGTTGGCGGCGGAAGCGGCGTTGGGAGCAGGTGTGTGATTGTGGCGGGAGACTGGTGTGGAGTTTACGTCGGCGGTAGCGGTGAAAGTCGGTGTGTTCTTGAAGTAATCAGAGGAAGGAGAAGTCGAGGCAAGCTCGTCATGGCGGTGACTGGACGACGAGGTATTGGTGTCGAGGTTGAGGTCGAGGCCCATGTTCAAGTTTATGTTCAGGCTCCGGGGATCCGGGACGGTTGACGTGCTTGCGAGGTCCATGGCCGCAATATGTTTCAGCAAGCAATGGAAGCAGAGCACAGAACAGTTGGGGTGAATGGTGTCAAATCATCCGGGGCGAGACGGAAACTGTTCGCTTGGGTTGTTGGTGTCGCCGGCGGCAGGGGAGGTGTACAACGAGGGACACAGCCTACAAAGCAAACGAGCGAGAGGCGGCGACGAGGGGAGCGATACCCAAGGGCAGACAGAGGCCAAGGGCGGGACGGTGTACAGTGACACGGTGGAGTGACAGTCGTGGCCGATGGGCGTCTTGGGTGTTGGTGAGCCGAGAGGACCTGGCGATGGCGTGCGAGCCAGGGGAAGGTTGATTTCGGGTAGGAACTTGTGAGAGACCTGGCGTAACAGGACCTGGAAGAGGATTGGCGTGTATCTTTTTTGGTGGACGGAGTATGGGGTGTCTGGGTATACGCAGTACGGAGTACGGATAGGTATTTCTGAGCAGCTGCCCAAGATGGGAGCCCCGGACGATCTACAGGAACGGATTCCGACTGGTTCTGAGGGGTGTGGTTGTGGGATGGAATTGGTAGAGGGCACGCAATTCCAGTGCAGTTTGTCGAAGTCGCGCGCGGGCGTTTGTGTTGAGACTCGAGGCAGGTTTGGCAGGAGGTTGAGCCCCTGGTGATTCGTCGGCCGGGGGAGGGGGGGGGGTTGTGGTCTGTGTTTTGTGGAAGTCGTCTAGATGCTTTCTTCTTCTGTTCTCGTCCTTGGCCCTGCTGATTGCGAAGGGTTTGACGGCACTGAGGGACAGAGAGATTGCCCGATGGCTAGTAGCTAAAGGTGTGCGACAACGTTCAGACGAGGCGGAGGTGAACGAGGGAGGAAAGTCTCGTGGTCGCGGTGCGCCGTCGTCGCCTTTGATGGTGTCGGTGTCGTGATTGAAGTAGTGTGTGAGGTATGGGAGAGTGCGGTCTGGGTTCGTCCGAGGCTGGATAGAGATATAGAGGTGCGAATGGTCGTAGTGGGAAGGGATCGGTATGTACTTAACGTCGGCTGATTCGAAAGCGGCGCCGGTGGGAGGAAAGGTTTGATTCTCTTCTCTTTCTTTCTTTCTCTCTTTCTTTCTATATCTCTCTCTATCTCTATGACAGTAAGTATTCGTAGGCTTTGGGAGATTCGTTGCTGGCGCTGCTGAGCTGAGGACGGGCAGTGGCAGATGGGCAAGCCGTAGACGGAGCCAGCACCAAAGAGGCGGGCGGGTTTGAGTGCTTTGGGGCGAAAATGGCGTTATCACTGGGATTATCAGCGGTGGTTGAGCAACTTGAGCCTGGGCGAGTGTGGCCCCCCCAGAGGTTCCACTTGTCGACAGCGGTTCCCAGGGGTCCAGACCCTCTAAGACGTGCTCGCTACCTCTCGGGGATCCACACCTGACGACTTCTAATTGGCCGCCTTCTCTGGCTTACGGTTGTCGCTGTGGTGGAAAGGCGACAGTGGACGGGTCTCGCTGCACCGTCCTCCGATAGCCGACTGATTAGATTGCGGGGGGGGCACTGGGAGGGCAGGAGGCCACGCCGACAAGCGAGGACGCCAAAAAGGGCATCTACGAATCCAACACCTTGCACCCCCCCAAGTGTGCTAGCAACACCCACACTACAACATACCTTACTAAGGTACTAGGCAAGTGTGGTAAAGTATCCGTACATTCTGGTGTGGCACAAATCGACTATTATCCTCCCGTCTGTCATCTGTCACCTGTCACGATTTCCCCAGTTTCATCTTCATACCTGCCGATTGAGGCTCATTGTGGTGGTTGCATCGTTAAAGACTGTTCAGCCTCTTTGTGTACCTAGGTGTTGTGGGTGAAGAAATCTCGAGGTGCACAACTCACATAGGTTGACCTCGCCTAAAGTCGGGCTTACCTAACAACATGCGCAACTAGGCACTGACACGCTCCACGATACAGTCACCTGCTCTTCAGTTTTTCCCTCTATTCTGCCAATTCTGCCCAGTCCCGTCCCATTGGACCCAGATTAGCTCATCGCGGTCACGTCTTGTGCATTTTCTCTCTCGTCATCTGCTGGGTCTCCTTGCCTTGAATCAGTCAACCTGGATCCAAGAGAAGAATTTTCACTTTCTCTTAGCAATAAGTCAACAACAAAGACGTCCAGGCTGTGTCTCAGCTGAGGTGCTTAGAAACCGGATAGTCTCCGTCGTATCCGCTCTCCTGAAATTCCGGAATTAAATTCTTGAAATTGTTGCCCAGGCCCCAAGGTCAGGCATAAAACTTACGACACCTCGAAATTCAAGCTCGTCATTCTTCTGCGGGTCCAGCTCTGTTCGCGAGGCACAGGTACGAAGTTACAAACATAAGCCTTCCAAGGAGAGAACTTCGAGATGAGAAAGGCATCCCCAGGCAACAGCTCCTGGGCCGCCCCGAGACGCCCGAGTACCGACGATGAGGTTAAGGCCGGCTGAAATGTCGCCATCCTGGCTGCCAATCTCCCCAATCAGGATGAGCTAACGCGAGCCTGCGATGGCGTCATTTTCTCAGCCCACGGGGTTCTCAAGCACCTCATTTTTGACCCTTCGAGAACGCCCCCTTTGTGTTCATCTGCTCCCATTCGTGCCCATTTGTGGCTTTCAATACGGGTCCTGCTGCTGCATCATCATGGGTGAAGGCCAAAGGGTATCCTCCCCCCTTCGGCACCTGGGTTAAAACCTAACGCCTTTCCCCATGTTTTGTTTACTTAACGCCGTTCGCCTCCCAAGTCTCCGTAATTCTGTCACTCTCTCAATATGACTAAACTTGGCTTTTTCCCAAGTTCCCGTCGTGGATCATGTAAGCCTCTTCAACTTCCAGCGGCATCCATGGATACGGGCGTGAATCATGAATAAGAGCGGATGAACAAGGCCAGGCCTGGAACGAATTCGATGTTCAGTCAGCGACTCAGCTCTCCCACATTCCTTGTCCATTTCATGTCATTGGCCAATCCACCGACTCTGAAATCTTCTCCGACCCAAGGTTTGATGAAATCATGTACCAATCAAATACCTTACCGATAGCCGCAATGGGGCTGGTCCGACCCCGGTCAGATACCGTAACCCCCATGCTCCCAATCTTTCACCGAGCAACAACCTCGCTCTCCGTATCAATGTCATCCTTTCGGTCGAGTGCCCGCGCCGCGTCGGACATGATACGACCAAGATAAGACTCAGAGCGATCACGCAATTCGCTTTAATTTCCAGTATACGGATATATCAGGTGACAACAAACTAGCCCATTGCCAATACAGCCAAAGAGAACTACACTTCCAGTCGACTTGATCCCTCAACTATCTGAAAGTGTGACATCCAACTGTTGGGATGGCAGAGGTCTGACATAAAGTCAATGGAGACCTGGGACGAGATGGCACCAAGCTCAAGGAGCCTCAGCCTCTAATGTTGTGCAAGCGTACACAAGTGTACGGTGCAGCCGCTCCTATCCAGACGCCAGACCTTCATCCAGTTGCGCTTCTACACGTCTTTTCTTCCTGGCTGAATGCAGAAGCGCCACTGATCACCCCTCCGCCATAGCTTGTTTCTCATCCTACTTTATCCAACCGTCTAACATTTAGGAGACCACCAGAGACACTGATCTGCAAGTGCCACTCCTCACGTTACGAGAACATATTGATAGAGGGCCGGTACCTACAGACTATCTACTGTAAGATCAGGATGAGCCAAGCCTCATTCCCACAATTCCATTCAAGAGACCGGCAGCCACACCAGCTGTGGATTAACCCCTAGATAGATTATTTTCGCATCGATATGTAGCAACTATCCTCGTTGAAAAGTGCCCATGTGACGGGAAATAGAGGGTCTCCAGGTGATAGATTCATGGACCGCAGTGAGCCACTTTGAACTTTAGACTGTTCAACTTCAGGTTCTACCAGAGGCCATTTAGAAAGAAATCCTGGAAGCATATTGAAAATCAACCTTGGGGATTCAGTGCTTGGTGCAGTTAAAGTCTTTGATTGACAATTTCCCTCAGCATCCTCCCTACTGTCTCAATAGATGACCTTCGGAGTGATGGATTGGTAATCCGGCCCGTTAGGAGGACCAGGCTCTGGCATACCCATGTAGTCTGACGGTCCTTCCTTTGCTTCTACCCTCAGATGCATCGCCTTGCGATCAAAAGTTGTGACAACTGCATTGACTTCTCCCATCTTGTGGACATCAGGGGTTCCCAAAACCTTGGGCTCAACAAAAGGTTTCTGTAGGTACGGCTCAGTGTAAGTAAGTGCAGGCTGAGGTTTTCCGGGCCACGCTTCTAGAGCATCCTGAGGCTGTGGAGGCTTTGGACCAACAATGCCAGAAACGCTCATGAAGATGTAATCGGCAAATTGGCTCCCATAGTGCACGTAGCGACCGCCGTTATTCTGATCAAAAAGATCGCTCAGGTTAAGGTCGCGGCTATTATCATCAGTCTTGTGGCCTTTGGGGATAGATACGCGGAGATGAAGGCCCATGTTCTTGGCAATATCACCACGATCACACCAGTCAAAGACGCCTTCGGGAACTGGGACCATATTTTGAATGTTCCCTCTTCGCTTGCCAGTGCGATCTAATAGGAAGGACGAGAAATCTGCGTCGTACATGTACAGAGCGACAGGATCTTTAACAGATATTGTGACGGGGATAGGACACACTTTATCGCGAGCAAGACGACAAACTTCGTTGACTGCGGCACCAATCTACAAATCGTTAGTTTCGGATAGCTCTCAATGGACAGTAGAGTCTCTTACCGTCGGGTCAGAATTTCTGCCCGGATTACCGTAGGCAGATCCATCTCCGCAAAGAGTAATCATACTGGTAATAGGCTCGCCGTACACCAAGTCGGTTCGGGTAACAGTGGCTTGAGCAGCGATATCAATCTCGGCACTGAGACTGTTGTTGATTTGGATGAGGTGGGCAATGGTACCAGTATTGGTGTGACCATTCCACCTGTTGTAAATGTTGTATTTGCCTTTATCGTCCACTAGGTGATCACCCTTGATCTCATGTGCGAAATCGGGATTCAACTTCTTGTATATGTCGAGGATCTTGTTGTTCCTCTCATGCTCTTGGGTCGCTGGGTTCTCAATGGGAGTTTCAGTCAGAATGGGGTTATACTTGGCCAGCTCTTCCCAGTACTGGTTATAAGTCAATACCATAGTCATTTGTGTAGAAGGATTGACTACGACATACCTCGGGACCTTCGCAAGTGAAGCTCACAATTTGAACATCTCCATCAACCCTTTTGGTAGACCATTCAAGATATTCGTCCATCACCCAGCGATCCTGCCTTTGTTGAGATACCTCGCCAACTTCATCCTCTCCCGTCTGTTTGTTCTTCCTATGGAACTTCAGAATCTCAGGCTCCAAGCGTCCTGGAGGAGCTCGCTGGTTCTCCGGATCCTCTGCGTATGCCCAGCGAGCATCATCAGTTGGCTGCTTGATTCTGACCTGGTACCCAATTAGACGAATGCATAGAAGACTGGTAGAAGAACTTGCATTCAGAGGGAAGCCAACCCAGGTGATGGGTACAGGAGGCAGAGACGAGTCGTAGGCAAAGTGAAGGGGGTTGAAGAACTGAGTAAGAATCTTCCTCAACTGTCCCAAGGAACAAACAGAAGCCTTGGTTCAGATCGGAGCTTCGGTTCATCTCTGTCATCTTTCCAACCGATGCAAACCATGAGAAAGATGCCAAGGCGCCAATTGGGTCTGTATCGTGGGCGCCCTGGTTTGTTCTTATAGCAGCGTAAGTAAATGGGTCAACAGTATGCCGTCTTCTCCATTAACACTTCAGCTCCTCTTCTATCCACTCCGAAAAGGACATCCTCCACATCATGAGTTGGTCGCGGGAAGACGGCCAATTCAGGTACTATGCTGTAAGTGGACGTCTGTTTCTGTTGAGTATACAGAGTTGATGACGATGGTAGCGCGATCTTATAATGAACGACGAAGCCGGAACTCAGCACGGCTGGGTATATCTATGATGTTCGATGGATGCTTTCGATGCACCAGGTAAGGCATACCTGGGTCCTCTGAATGGCCATGTCAATGGAGGAATCGTCATGAAGGAGATTCACAAGTAAGTTATCACCGGGCTGATGTAAAACAATGGGCCTGCTGACGTGGTCATAGGCCTTGGATGCATTGGCTTGTTGGAGGCCGAGGAGTGACGGATCTCCTTGATGCAGAGCTCATCTCGGAGCTTACGGAGGCTAGATGGCTCACTTATCCTGGCTTCCCTCCTCTTTACGGCGCAAGTGTGCAATCTGGTGAGACGTTCGAGAGAATAGTGCTGGACTCTCTCAGAGTCTGGTTTACTAGCCGACGGAACAAGGACTTTTTGACTGAGAAAGGGGAGACTAAAAAACGTCCGGACAATATCCAGCGTTGGGCAACACACTTTTTCCTGACAATCAACATTAACATTGCTGCTACCTCCAACAATGCCAACATTGTACCGTCGGATCATTTCTTCAGCTATGAAATGCTCAGAGGATACAGTGACCTTCTGGTAGGTCGTAATTATTACACTGCCCATCCCTTCTCGACAGAGAGGGATACTCATAACTCAGCAGTGCACTTGCTGACAATCGCAGCCCAACCGAAGCCTTAACGACGACCAATGGCTCGCTGACCATATACTCAAGGAAACTCCAGCTGCGTTAACGGCCTGGAATAAAGAACAGTTCAAAAATGACGAACATAAGTACCTCACTCAAGAACAATGGTTCAGAACCTACTCCATCCCATCTTTCAAGTATGACGGACCGTCCTATCTCTGGGCTTCGCGGGAGCTCAAGCTCTGCACCTTGTAGGAGGTAGCCAATGTGCAAGACGCACAACTTGTTGTTCCAGCGAACATACTTGCCGGTGGCATTTTCATGGGAACTCTCGAGGATGGCAAGGAGGACATTCGTGGAGGAGCCCAAGTCAACTTCGCCGTTCAGCAATGGGGCGAAGGGGATAATCCTTGGGTTATCCTTCAAAGCTCTGTGGATGATGCGCATGGCGTATGGACTGCTCAGAAGATGTTCTTGGGAGATGACAAACAGTCAGCCCGATGTCAACTCTTTTCTGAGAAAACCTTCAACGCCTTGCAGATGGTTGACTTTTGGAATCCGATTTACTCCTGGAGACGTCTCAAGTTGATGCAGTACATCCCCGTCGAGGCTGAACTCTTGGACACGCCAACTACCGACTCGACGACCGGTGACTACGTGTACAGTTACAACCTAGAGAAAAACTTCATCGATGCTGTCAGGAAGAGAGTGGATGGCAAAGGGGTCCTGGAGGAACTCCAAGATGAATGGCCAGAGGCCGAGTTCTTGTGCAACTTGGATAAGCCTCTCATTGAGCATCAGATTCGGATTTCCAACTACACCAACACAGTGGTAGAGAACTTGAACGACGCGACCTGGATTCTGGAGTATTTGAAGCTCGCGGAGTCTCGACGCCGCATGTTTCGTCCGATGCCGATGAACTTTTTCGGTAGCAATATTCCATACTGCCTTGCCATGCCGACAGACCATCCATGGCTAGAGATGACCGAAAAGGCTTCTGTACGACAAATTCCCGAGCGAGGTCTTGACGTCTTGAAGGACTGGTTAGGATCACTGGCTAGTAGCGATCCAAACGTTATCCCTAACCAGAGTCTCGGGGATATCAACAAACTTATTAGGGAGAATGTTGAACAAGACACAGTCGGTTTACCGGTTCATCTTCTGCCTAGGCCGTCGACGATGCGAATGGCTTGTCAACGTTTCATTGCGGTAACGAATCCAGAGACATCGGAACGGCCTCACAGTTGCCCTTTCATGGTGGGAGAACATTTAGCTTCTGTACATACATCAGTGGGAGCTTAGCTTTCAAGGCTGTTATTGAAGAATTAGTTTGAGTCAAAGATCTGTGAGTCTTTAGGTTTTGACCGACATGCCTCGAATGCGATACTTCTACATGGATCTTCAGCTCATCTCCATGTCAAAACGTCTTACACTATCTGATGAACCGTCTCGATTCTTAGCAGAGTATCAGTGTAGTTCAAATATTGTCTGCCAGGTTCGTGCGGCTGGGCGTTGATCTCATCGGGATGTTGACGACGCAAAGATCTTGAATCCCGAGGACGCTAAGCCTTGGAGCGGGATCGGGAAGTTTGAGATTGGTACATGTATCTGCGGACAGTGGGAAAGAGGATCAAGCGAATCCTCCAAAGACCACTTACTGCTTACGTCTTTCCCAGATGAAGAGGGGCATTCGCGGCTTTATCGTGCCTCACCATGAAAGATGTCAGACGCGTTGCCCTTGCAAGCTGATTTCAGTCGAGGCAGTCAGAATCCACGAATATGGCTACCAAAGCTAATGCTTTGCAAACAGGCAACTCGCCAACGAGAAACTTGCCATGAAGCTAAACCGCCCGAGCTCACATCTCACCGTCGGCTCTGACCGACTGAACGTGGAATTGCCGCCGACAGCCGTTGTTATCGTAAAGGTTGATTTATAGCGATGCACGCCAAGTGCTTGGCGGTGGTAGGCTGGGAGACTTTTGAGCATCTCCGCTTCTCGGGACTGGGTGGAAATGCAGACTTCCCCGCTTCAGCAAAGATATCACTCGATGAGAACGGCGAGATTTTCTGCTTGGCAAAGGGTGATGGGTGAGTTCAGGTAGCTGGGCCGCTCGGAGGAGGGCATAAAATCGTCGCGAGGCCAGCCATCGTCTTTCCAGACCTCGTTTCTTTGTTATTTTGCCAAGGCTTGGTACCATAAATAATATCAAAAAGGCTTCAATAACATGCGTGCTACGGCTGCCTCAATTGCGATCTCGCTGTTCGGCTATGCAGCCGCTGAGACTGTCCATGGCGTCGTTGTCTTCAGCCGCCATGGAGATCGTATGTTTATGCCTGTTGTCTTGGGCTTCAAATGAAAGCTGACACTCCATTCAAGGAACAACCAAGCATTATGGAGCTCATTCATTGACCAGCGGTGGTTCTCAGCAGTGTTTCGAGGTTGGGAGTGACTATCGAAGCCGCTATCTGGAGGCGGACTCCTCGAGTCGAATTCTCAACATCTCCGAGGATAAATATGCCTCCTCGCAAATCTACGCAAGTGCTCCCGATCAAGGCATCCTATTGAACACGGCCACGGCATTTCTGCAAGGTCTCTACCCTCCCTTAGTAGATCTCAACGCTCAGGTCGCGTCGTCGACCCTCAACAACGGCAGCACAAGTACGAGCCCCCTAAACGGTTACCAGTATGTTCTTCTTCATGGCGAGAACTCCAACTCCCCAGACACTATCTGGATCAAGGGCGATGATGGATGTCCCACAAACGCCAAGGCCTACAAGGCTTTTGAAGCCAGTGAAGAGTTCCAGACCCGTGTCACGGAAACCAAGGACTTTTACGGCAGCTTCTACGATGTGCTCGAGAGCGTGTACGACTACAAGCCCGAGAACATGACGTACAAGAACGCGTACGATATCTTTGATCTAGTCAACGTAGCACGCATCCACAACAGCACATCTTTGGCCCGGAACGTGACGGACGAGGAGCTCTTCCAGCTGCGAACGTTGGCAGACAGCGCTGAGTTCGGTTACAACTTCAATGCTTCCAAGCCTGACAGCACCATTCATGCAAAGACTCTTGCAGCTGGCATTCTTGCCCAACTCAACCAGACCGTTGCTTCTGAGGGGAAACTCAAGTTCTCCCTCCTCGCGGGCAGCTACGATACCTTCATGTCCTTCTTTGGTCTTACCGATCTCATCACCATTTCGGATGACTTTTACGGTCTCCCAGACTATGCCTCGACTATGGCGTTTGAGCTCGTCAGCGATAACATGACTGTATTTCCCGCTAATGTCGATGCCGACCTTCGCGTGCGCTTCTTGTTCCGCAACGGCACTTTTGGCGAGCTGACAGCGTTTCCCCTTTTCGGCACCGGAGAGGAGACTCTATCATGGCCGCGCTTCGTCGAAGAGATGCAAAAGAGAGCCATTAGCACCGTCGAGGAATGGTGTAATGCCTGCTCTAGTCTTGTATCATTCTGTGCAGCTTACCAATACGAGGAGGCGGCGAGCTCTAGCTCAGGGAGCGGCGGAGGCATGTCGAATGCTGTCGCCGGTGTTATCGGTGCTATGGTCACTCTCGGTGTTGTTGCTATCATTGGTGCTATTGCATTCTTCATGATGAAGAAGCGACGCGCAACTCCTGTCTCTCAAGTGCAAGGGTCTACGGCTGAAAAGTCCAGTCTACGCAGCGGTGGTAGTGTTTGAATTTCTTGGCCGACACATGTTGAATCGAGGCGACGAGTATGAATGCAGCGAGAGTAATGCCGATTCTCCGTTTCCATGTATGTTATTGTCAGCGAAGCAAGGCTCTGCAAGAGTCTGGTCATCCGACCTTCGCGAGTCTGAAGTGGATTGAAAGGACCATGCCTGTCAAGCTTTGTGATAACGGCGATCATAGTGATCTTTATTGAAAACGACGGCGCTAAGGCTACCCCGGCAGGGTTCATAAACTGGGCCTTATTTCAATGTAGTTGAAACGACTTGAGCGAGTCGTTTGTCAGCAGTCTTCAGGAACCCGAGTTCATCTAATCTTTGCACGGAACATCCGACGGGATGTTTTTTAATAATCCGCTTTTACACAGGAGAACTCTTTCATAGTCACGATGCAAGTCGGAAGTAGTTTGAACAGATTATGAACGTGACAAATGGTACGATCTATATCGTTATGATATATATTTTATGTAAAGCGGTATACAGGAAAGACTTTGTACATGAAAGAGATTGGTCCTGGACCGAATCAGATTCGCGGGCGCCACAAGTGTAAACGCCCACTACGAGCCGGATAGCTTCATCATCCCCTGAGCCATCTGGGTCGCTTCAACCCTCGAGACCAGATACCATGGTATCGTGGAAATCGCTTATGCCTGAATGCGGCGGTCGTGGATGCTCATGCGCTTGGCGACAGCGGTCGCGGAGGGGGTCTCAACGGGGCAGTCCTCCTCGTCATCAGCGGCCTGAGTGGGAGTGGGAGTGGCAACGGGAGCAGCAGAGGACTCAGCGGGGCAGTCCTCCTCGTCGTCAGCGGCCTGGGTAGGGGTGGCGACGGGGGCAGCGGTGGCGGTGGCAGTAGGGACCTCGGACTCGGCAGGGCAGTCCTCCTCCTCGTCGGCGGCAAGAGTAGGGACGGTGGCAGCGGCGCTGACGGTAGCGGAGGCAGACTCAACGGGGCAGTCCTCCTCATCATCGGTGGCAGTCTGGCTGGGGGTGGCAGCAGAAGCGACGGAAGTGGCAGGGGCAGAGGTGGCGGCCGGGGCGGAGGTAGCAGCAGCGGCAGAGGTGGCGGCAGCAGAGGTGGCAACGGGGGCAGCGGAGGAAGCAGCGCCGGAGCCGGAACCAGAGCCGGAGCAGGAGAAGACGGCAGGGCCGGGGACGGTGTACTCCTGGGCCTTGTAGGCATCGTAGGTGATACCGGCATCAGTGGCGGCGTAAGCACCGGGGAAGGCAACCAGGTCAGAGGGGCTGGTGCTGCCGGAACCGGTAACCTTGATCTGATGGCATCCGGGGTAGAACTGGGCGCCGGGGTAGGAGTAGGAAGCGTGGAGGGCGATGATCTCGTGGCGGACGAGATACTGGCCGGGGGCAAGGCACTCGGGGATGGTGTACTTGACACCAGAGTTGCCAGCGGTCATGAGAGAGGTGGCACCCCAGGTGTCGGAAGTGCCCTCACGGCCGGACTCCTGGACCTTGAACCAGACCTTGTCGGTGTTGGGGGTGAAGGTGGTGCAGTCATCACCGGCGCACTTGGCCATGTAGGTGATGGTAGGGCCAATGTGAGACTCGGGCCAGAGAGTCCAGTTGAGGGTGACCTCGTCACCAGCCTTGGCATCAGCGACGAGCTTGGCGGGGGAGGAACCCTTGACACCACCGGCGGTGTAGCCACCACACTGGAGGTCAATGCTGGTCAGGTCCTCGACGGGGCCGTTGCCCTGAATGGGACGGGAGATACGCTCGGGGGCCGGGCTCATGTACTGGTCCTGGTAGGGCTGGTAGAAGGTGTAGTTCGTGCCGCTGATGAGACCATCGGAGACGTAACCGTGGGCAGCCACCAGGGCTGCGGATCCAAGAAGGGAGGCGATAGCGGACTTCATTTTTGCGATTTGGAGTTTTTTGTTTGAGAGTTGTTCAAAAAAGGGGTTGGCTTGACTGTGAGAATATCGAGGTCGGTTGGAGGAATGAGTGTTGTTGGAGGTCTAGGACCGAAAAGAATGAATGACTACCTGGTCAAGTAAAAAGAATGACAAAAGTTGAACGAAGGAATGAGATAGACACACAAGTCAAGTGAAGCTGAACACTATGGATCGTAGGAAAGAGAGTTCAGAGCAGAGGACGGCCGGGCAGAGATGATGATATATACGGGAGGGCATCGTAGGTTGTTTTCCCAACGCGGGCACTTGCGCCGTTGGCGTCCTTTCTCAACTCCATCGGGTCAAGATTAAGAGGACCACTTCCGCCGCTCCGCCAAAGTTTCAATTATACGCAGGACAATCATATCCGGCCAGGTGGTGGGGATAAACATGGGGAGAGGGATCTCGCGTATGCGGGAGACAGGCACGGCTGGGATCATTGGGATGTGGGTGGTGGTCTTTGAGGGTCTTGGTCCTCTTGGATTTGGTGTACTGTTAGTGGTGGGCATCGTAAATCTAGAAAATGTGGCTCAGGGGAAGAAGCCAATAGACTCTGGGCAACATCTTCCACGCTGCTGGGAAGCCTGGGATGACGAGGGGCACGAGGGGCACGAGGGGCTCAAGCCTCAAGGTTGAAGGAGTCAAGGGGGGCAAGACATCCAAGACTTTCTGAGGGCAACAGGCGAGTGCCGACTGCGCTTACGCTGGTGTGCGTGATGCAAACATATTAGACAGGCTCAAGTTGGTGGGCTGCTCCGGGCGCTAGCATAAGCGTAGATAGGTCTATCCATTCCACGATAGTATCCATGATGAGTTCAGGAACTTGCAGATGGCTCGGCCAACTGCCATGTCGTTGTCAGTTGTGAAGAAGCAAATGTCAGTTCAGTTGACATGCGCCAAAAGATGAGACAATGCAAACCCCCCTCGATGGCCTCGACGAGGAGACTAGACATGGGCTGGAGCTCAACTTGAACAACGCGAGCAAGGATTCATCCCATGTCGGCCGGGGCCTGTAGATCCACTCCCGAGCTTCGCTGGCCGAACCGATTGGCCATCCCGGCGTCTACCACCGGGAGCCCCCCGGTCAGATCCCCGTCAGTTCCCGGCGGCCACCCTGAAACAGCCAAGTCCTGAGACCCATCCCCTTTTTCTTAATTATCACCAGATTCGCCCTGCAGCTTCCGCGGCCTCAATTAACACTCTACGCGCTACTTCCCGAAAAAGGCTCGACGTCCTAGCCGCCGCGGCGGGACCTCAGGGGTTACCACGCTTCGAGCCTTCGAGCCCACGCATCATGGACAGGAATCGTTCTGAAAACCCCACCTTTGCCCCCTGCGCAACGCATGGCACAGACGATTCCCTGGCCTGGTGGTTGAAGCCTGAAGGGGTTCCTCTCCTTTTCCACCAATCCTCTCTGCTTCATCCCAGAGGAGAATCTGCCCTGTCACTGCCAACGACTTTGCCGCCGCCGCCAGCTGCTGACCTGAGCGCTTCCAGGCTTGGTCATTTCGACTCCTCATGATCTTCTGTTCTTGCAGCTTGCAGGCTGGGCAACGGACACAAACATTATTATTACAGGCCTGGCCACCCTTTCTAGGCCACTCGGCAGGCTAAACCGGCCAGGCTTTTGCTGCTATTCGCTCTTCTGGGCTCTTCTTGCGGGACACTGACAGGCGGCAGGCTTGATCAAGAGATTGAACGGGGCTTCAGCGGCTTTCACGCGCCAAGGAGTCAACTGAGAACACTGGAGTCTGACCTGGTCCGCCCTGCGTCTCTTCTCTTTTCTTCTTTTTCCCGTCAATTTTCGGACATGAGCACGAGAAGAAGACCCAACAAACGATGGACCAAGAGGGGCCATGTGGCGGCGCGCGCCCGAACTCGGGAGCAACAACCGTTCTGAGCATCTCTACTGGGCAGCCATGCCAATTCAAGTCCGAGTTGAAATTACGCTTGAACATGATCTGTTCCTGGCCCAGCGGACAGCGGCATTGTCGTAGAACTCGGAAACTCCTACGAAGGATTCTGTCGATGCGAGATTGATTTAAAGTAGGGAGATGCCCGCTGCCCCCCCCCCCCCCCCCCCCCCCCTACACAGTCAGTATAAGCAGCATGCATGATATGCTTTTGCCAATAGACTTCCCGTGCCCACTGCCCACCTCAATATGCTTTGGCGGCTTTGGCCCTAGGCTAATGACGACGTCGACGAGCAGGCCACTGTATCCATCAATGCAGAACATGAGCATTGGCGTCACCCCTTGGACTCCAGTCTCCGTCATCCACCACTTGACCACTTGGACAGATAACTAACTTACTTTTGCTGACTGACGCTGCGAGAGCGAGAAGATCTGCTCGGAGACCCGTGCCGTGATCCGTCTGCCAACCGCCCGGGTCTCACGGCGACGGCCTTGTCACCCCATCCCTATCATCTTCCCCATTTCAATCTATCCCAACCCCGGTCAGCGCGCTTCACCGCACATCAACCATCACGCACGTCTTTTTTTTTTTTCTTTCTTGCTCCACAGGGGCCAGCCAGGCCGCTGGGACCCCCGTTGTAACTCGATGGTCAAGGTCCAATGTTCCACACAGAGACCTAACAAGGGTTTCCCACCCCCTTTTCAGACGATCGACGAGCGCGTACCTGCGTACCACGCACAAACATCGCCGATCTTATGGAAATCCCTTCTTCACTGTTCTTCCCAGCAGTGAATCAGGTACCCAGTTACCGAGTCCACTTTGCAAGAAAACTCGTGATCGATGCGACGCTGGGATGCCTTCGTGGAGAATCGATCGTACCTACGAACACCAGGCTTGGCTATGTTGGTCCATCATCGTCTTCTTTCTCGGCCGAGTTGATCACTGCCCTATGGAGTCGTAAAAGACAGAGATGTTCTGGCGACGGTTTCTCCTAATAGCGACCACCTGACTCGGCTTGTCTAAGTTCACCGTCAAGGTTGTCGCTTCACTCAACATGATGCACGCGCAGAAAAGCCCCTGGCGGCGCAGCCAAAAGAAGCGCTCGCTGCTCAGCAAGGTGGCATCCTTTCATCCCACGCCGCCCGGTAGGCCGAAGCAACGCTCAAAAGCTTTGAGTCAGTGAATCATTGAAAGAGATCTTATCTATCTACTAATAGGCCTAATCGCCTGTCAAGGCCGACGGGTATCAAAACTAAACTAAACTAAACGAAACAGTTCCCTGGCGTGCCGGGGCATCGTAACAATCGTGAGCACATCCATGGATCTTTCAATTCCGTCTCCTCAGCCTCGGTGGCTGTAGAGATCAGTGATTGTTGCGCCTTCGCTGCCTCTGTCGCTCAAAGATGGCCAACCCAGATATAACGGCCATAATTGCCCACCGTTCGCCCAGCTCACCCGTCAACCCACTGCCCATGAAAGCAAACTTGGCCAACTTGGTCATGCTCATTCCAGCATCCGTCCAGACAGCGACTACCTCCTTCCCATCACCTCCCCTGAAGGCTCCTGGTCCGGCGTTCTGGGGCACTGATTGAGCAAGCCTGATGAGCTTCCAGCCTCTGCTTCGGCCGTCCAGCGCAGCGATCGCTTCGCCAGAACTTGTCCTCCATTCAAACTGCTCTAGTCTTTCGCAGTTTGGCCCAACACCGATAGCAAAAATGTAGCTCGACGATGGGAAGTCGGTTTTTGATTCCAGTTCGACAATTGGCCCACCGCCTTCTGTACGTATCGGCGCAGCTGGCAGCGTTATGCTCATTCTGCTGCTGAAACTATGGTACTCTACTGACGCGAGCGGCGAGAACTTGTCCGATGGCCCAGAGTGCAGCACAATGGGCGGCGAGCTGCTCAGCCCGCTGTGTATTGACATGCCATAGAACGGCTGGCTCTGGTGCTCGCCGAGGAGCATTGTCCTGCTGAAGCTCTGCGAGTAGACATTGAAGGCTGGCGGGAACTGGCGGGCTACAACCTGCGGCCCCGACGACGGTCCTGGGCCTGGGCTCCCTCGGGGCGGCGGTGGTGCCGGACTCGTGCGGGGTTTTTCTTCGTACGGCGGCGGAGCTTTGTCTGCAGGGGTATCGGGAAGTGGCTTCATGTTGATGTATTGCGATGCGGATGGCATCTTTCTTGTTATCCGCGGCGGAGAGTGATGGACTTGTGGAATTCACGTTTTCACGTTCGTGATGCTTCCGTTGCAGTGTTCTTAGCACTGGAAGCCTCTGCTTCTTTAAGACTTCGCTCCATATTGTGTCTGCCTAGTGATCCTGATTCACAGCCACACGCGTGACGGGAATCCAGTGGCACAGCGTGGCAGCGTTGCCCGGCGAAGGTGATCTGCACCACCACAGCCACAGCCGCAGGGACAGGCACTGCATCAACACGATTCAGACTGGAGGCTCTTGACGATCTAAATCATCCATCAAGATATTGTCGGCTACTCCGAAGTGGAACGGTTTTCGACTAAGCTCACGTTGACGACATCATACTAAGGCTACCGCAACAGCAACCAGTTCTCCAGCCGAGCTAGCTCTCCCTAATGAGCAGGTCATCGTTTTCCATCAGCCACTTATGGACTGGCCCCAAAATCAATCTTACCTCAACTCAGCGGTTCAATTTCTATCGGGGCCACGGTAGTCTACTGCAGGCGGGGAATGATTGCTTCGCCAGCCATCCACCTGGTTCTCGTCGATTGAAGTAAAGTGAACTTACCAAAATAGCATTGTTCATGACGGCAAACTTACTACTCAATCCCCTGCTGATGAGGTCAACTCTGGATTTCATTGATCTTCTATCCCATCAACTGCGGCATGACGTCGGTACATACCTACGTACTCTGTATGAGGGGTAGTAGCAAATCACGTATTAATCCAAGATATTCCGGATCATTACAGTATTATTTCCCAAGCCTGCACCCAATCAAAAGATTACAAAAGTGATCAGAGTTGGAGAAAACCGGAGACGTTTGTACCGACGTCATGCCGTAGTTGATGGGATACAAAATGAAGTTTCTTACTGAAACCATTTCATTGATAGAAACCAGTGCTCTTAGCTCCGCCTACTTTGAATCCTACATATTGAAAGGGATAGAAACTGATAGAGTCTATGCTCGGCAAAGTCCCATAAACACCGATAATGATCATACTCAGGATAAGGCGGTGATTAGATTAGAATCCCATTCTTCGGCGTCCCAACACCCTACTAATATTTTACCTTTTTATCTTGCCTCTTTGCTTGGATACTCTTATCAATCTTAGAACAGCAAATACAGTCCACCGAACATGTCCACGCTTTGTATCAGGAAAGATCTTGATACCCTACTAAGTCAGGATGAGCGTCACGCGTGATATCCTCGTCAAGGCGCTTCAGCACATCAACAGCCTCAAGCCAGATGACAAGAATGCCCTACATCATCGTCGCCGGCTATCATGGACTTCCAGCACCAGCTTATTGTAAGCATAGTTCCGTGTTATTCCCAAAGTGACATCGTGCCTATCTCTTGCGACTCGAGAATGCTTTTCGGAGTGCCCTGGGATGCAGCAATGTTGCTCTTCCTTACTGGAACGAACGGTCGAGTGCTTCGTTGAAGAAAGGGCCCTAACCTCTTCACGCAAAAGGACTACGAGCTCAAAGATAGGAAGTGTGTTCCCGACCAGAGCTCTCTTCTCCTACAAATTGCAGGAAGACGTATGAAATCTGCACAGCGGAAGGGAAAGACTTTCCCAATGGCTACAGGAAGCCTAAGGGGTACGATACTGTGCGATATCCCTACTCTGGACTCGTCAGCTCCGACTTCAGCACTCAGATCATGGACCACGGTCCACAATGCTGAAGTCAATAAGCTGCCGCCTGAGCAAGCGACTGAGTTCTTGAACGGCAACGTCACACGCTGGCTCAATCCGAAGGCTATTAACAACAGCAGAGGCTATGAGATTAGGGTGGAATTAGTAGCTAATTACAAAGAATGCCTCGATGCCCCCAATTACAATTTACACGGTTTTCCCAAACGATAACTCGGCCTCTGACTGGAATACCAAGAAGTTAAGGGGTTGTTTCCAGCCAGTGGTAGTCTCCCTTGAGCAGCCTCAAAACCAGACGCCATGTATTTAACCATCGGCGGTTTCGACGTTTCCTGGCAGGAAACGTGCCGACGTCTATCCGTTCGCCAACGGTGCTATGGGCGAGAATGACACGGCATCATTTGACCCGGTCTTTTTCTTCCACCAATTGCTTCACAGATTAAGTACATATTCTGGAAGTGGCAGGATACTCGTAACAAGTCAGCTGGACATCATCCCCGACCTCAACGGCACAAAGGGTTGGTGTTTCGACTCCCCTTCTAGATCCAGTAACTAAAGAGGATTTTACGTCTGGGGACACGCGACCGATAACATTCAATGTATGACTCCGTCCAAGTCCGTGATCGACTGTGTCTAATGAGTTCAGGATGTCACTTATACTGTCGGATTGGAAGTCCAATTCGGCCGCGAGTAGGGGCAGAGCATGGGCCACCTCGAGGGGGTACACTTAGACCTCGACTACCCACCCAACCTCCGGTTGGAATCTCCCTTCTACTCCTTACGCAGAATCAATCAATACAGAGATATTGATACTTCGTCACCCCCAGGACCCTACGGTCCGAACCAAATTCCCTGTGAAAGGAATACCAACATATACAGCCAGTCTTGGTTACGACTATCCCAGACCGAGGAGTGATTTCCAAGTCTCCGGGCCAGAAATCAGAGAGGGAACCCAAAATCACAGCGACTGGTATCAATCGCGCCTGAATCCGCGATTCGGTCGTGATCTCCACCGGGGGGCCAAGGGCAAGAACGGCCAGCCAGACATGCTTTTGGACACGAAATCTGTGCTCAGTCGGTGGAATGTCGCAAGCTGTGAGAATTGTCAGAACTATCTCGACATCGAATCTCACCGGAACCTGTACGGCTTTTCGGACGATGAGGCGTTGGACACGGAGTTCTATGCGCTGGTTCATACCAGAGACAACCCTGAAGGCATCGATACTATCGAAGGCAAGAAGGTCCAGGCCGAGATTGGAACAGCACAGTGAAGAACTGAGGTACAAGACCTAGATAAGGTCTTCGAGACTCATCCTCGGCTTGGCACAGCTTGGAATTTGGGTCTATCAAGTGATGTGGACTAGAGCCTGACCTTCTCGTCCACGGAGGATAGGAGACTTCAACAGCCTCAGTGATGGGTGATAAAAAGTTTTCGAATTTGCTTTCTAGTTCTTATATTGTACATAGTCCCACAAATGTTGCTTCAATTTGATTCTTTCCACGGACTAGATCCTTGGTGTTGCCCCAGCTTGGATAGTTTTCAAAACTGTTTACACATGACATGGCGTACATCACCCTACGAGCACACCATGTACCTACAAAAGGCTGCAGTATCCGTGTGATGTTTTGGTAGAACACTAGCTTTCTAGGGTACGAGAAGCGCAACCACCCGCGGTTGCTCAATAGAACCAACTACCGTAGAGCTACGTGGTCTTTGGTATAGGTATCTTGGAGTAGTTGGTAATACATGAAACCTCGTATGATGCTATGCACCGGCTAGGCTTCACCACTTCTTGCGTCTTTTTGTATGTCTTTGCATCAGGTGATGCTTCTCACTGGTTGACAAATTCGTGTTTTGGATCAAAACCCGTAGCTATGAAATTGTAGAAAAGTGATAGCGAGCGATGAGCTGCCTCGAAACAATAACTCCTCCAGTGCCTTTCCCAGTGCGCCTAATCCTTCATGCCAAAAAAAATTAATTTGAAACCTTCAGAATTGCGTCCTTGAAAGCTAGTCCAATTGCTGCACTCGATGCACGCTAATTCAACGCGTAGATCCGTCACTAGATATCGAAAGTGACTCGCTTTACACCTTTGGACTTCGTTACTAGGCAGCACGTCAAACACACGGCGTGCAACAACTTACTGGAAGCTCTTCTCCTCTTGGAAGCGTAGAAAGCATAGGTCGAATCATCTTCACCTTCAAGATCACCATCCTTGGACTTCCCTGACGTCAGAATCTATATAAGCCGATTAGTACCGTCGCTATCCGAAGGTGTGGTGGTGGTGGTGGTGGTGGTCCTGCTGCTGCTGCTGCACCACTTAACGACACCATAGTGAAACACTTACAAAGTCGAATCTGGATGCGGCAAAGACCAGAGCCATGAGCACGATGACCACCAAAAGCGAGCCCCCAAGCCCATTCATGTCGGAGAACATTCTCAACATTTCGACTAGGTCCAAGCCAAACTTTTCTGCTATTTGCTGTTCCTGATAAGAAGGCTCAACCAGACCCCTTGGGCTAGTCGTCGATCGGATCGCGGGCGTAGACGGTAAGCGCTGTTGTTGTTTCACGTTCCCTTGTGTTCAATCACCCCAGGCGCGGCAATCAGCGGGCTGAAGAATGTAAGATCGAGACTTTGGGGATAGGGGAAGAGGGAAGAGATCAAAAGAGCAAGAATGTCCAGAGACGTTCCGGAAGGTAGCCCGAGGAATGAAAAGTTCCGAATGCAAACATGAATCGCGGGGTCAGGCAAGGTCAAGCATGTCCCAGAAGGAATCTCATCGTCAGCACACAAGAAAACAGACTCGCGAACTCCCGAGGCAGGTAGGAAGAGTTGGGGTCCGACATGCGACCTTATAACAAGAAATCTCCAACGGTCGCGGCCGGTCCCATGGTCATCCCAGGAACTCCGAACGTGTGGCAAGAATCATAGATGGGACGTAGATCTTTTTACGGCCGAATAAGAAACTCTCCGAATTAGTTGCCTACCTTGGTTGCCTGGAGCCTTTCTTCAACCAACGAAGGGCTGGGAAAAAAGGGTTCAATTCTGGTCTGCAGAGGTAGGTTAGGTACACTTCTGCCTCAGCTGCCCAGCACGACACGTGGTATTCACAGGAGAAATCGGGGCATCCAAGCAGTGCCAAGTTCCAACAGCGTCCAGCCAGCCTGATTGTCTGTGCCGGCAAGCAGCTCTGATTGGATCAGATTCGAGAAAAGAGTGTGCTAGAAAAGTTGGGATGTCGATTAAATTCGCCAAAGATGGTTCTCCGTTTCGAGGCGGCTGGAACAGGGGTGGGTGGCTTGGGGGTAGGGCGGAACCCAGACCGTGGGGTGGAGGTCCGAAGAAAAGAAGACCAAGTCAGTCGGCCGGAGTTCTGGAGAGAGGAAGAGAGAGAGAGAGAGAAGATGCAGCGAGAAGGCAGGGAATGGTTGTGGCGCCCAATGAGTGGGCGTGTGGGTGGCCTGTTGGCTGCAGCAGGGCGAGAGAACTGCGCCCAATGGAGTGCTCCGAGAACCAAGCAAAAGTGCACCTCGAATTATGTTGCCGAGTCGGGGTTAATCTGGAATCATGATAACGGGACTCGGAGTTGAGCGGTTGGTTGGTTTGCATTCGGTCAAGACTCAAAGGAGCGACTGGACAGATGGGAAAGGATGGATGAGCTGAGATCGAGTTCATCTCGAAATTTGTTTCTTGTCCATACCTCCTTCCGGCCATCTCAATGGATGGGAGGAGAGTGTAAGGACAGACAACAGTCTTGATCATTATTAAAGTATTGTATCGTTATCATGTCCGCCGATGCCAGCCGACCGCGAATGCGACTGTGACTGCGACTGTGACAGTTTCTGCATCGGGTGCTCTCCAAGTTCAGTCTCGCTGTGTCCCAGTGTTCCTCCTCCGCCTTTTGCGTTTCTTCCCTCCCAAGCCAAAACCAAACCAAACCAAACCAAACTCCTCATTTTTCGTCATCCGAAGATATGTAGAATGAAATACCACGCCAAGAGATGCGAAACTCTTGCCCAAAGCGCCGTGCATATATACCCATTTTGGCCGTTTACACTTTTGTACCAATTGTGACGCCCGCTGATCCCACTGGATGAGGTGGCAGTGTGAGAGTGTAGGAGTGAGTGAGAGTGAGAGTGAGAGTGAGAATGACCGATGAGAGTGAAGGTCAGGAGTCGGGGGATGAAGATCTCCAAAAAGTCCGACCACCGACTCTCTCTCTCTCTCTCTCTCTCTCTCTCTCTCTCTCTCTCTCTCTCTCTCTCTCTCTCTCTCTCTCTCATTCTCACCTCTCGCCTCCCCAACGGGAAAAAAATAAAATAAGATGGAAACAATAACTAGCAGCCAACGCCGAATGCCGACCCCGCGACCGTAGGGACAGGATGATCCCCCAAAAAGGTCCAGAAAGGTCCAAAAAAGGGGGAGAGAAGCGTGAAAAAAGCGAGGCGAAAAGAGGACTAAAACCCCCCTTCCGAAATTCCGGAGGCGTCGCGACTAGCACTCGTCCGCCCGCAACGCCTGGACCTCGAGAGCCTCGTCCACAATGAGAGCCCAGGTGTCGCGGATGTAGTCGCGCATCTCCAAGAGGACCATGACCGCATACGCCGCCGTCATCAAAGCGAGACAGTAAAACGCCTGAACCACAAACATCAGTCTCAACACTCTTCATGTTTTGTATAATCCCCTCCACAGAGTCTTGAAGAATGATGCCAAGGCCAAGAAATGACCAACGCAATCAAGCATTCAAGCCAAAAGGAAAGATGAATGGAAAGGTGCAACGTACCGACCAGACTCCCAAATCACCCCATCGCACTAGAGCCAGCTCGCCGAGCCCGTAAAGACCCTCGATGCCGGATGCGCTCCCGGGGAATGCGTCGCCGCCCAGCCTCGTGCTGTACATCACCCGCAGCTCCTCGACGCCGTGCAACGCGTCCGGGACGCTTTGGAACCCATAGTAGAGAAGACCGAGCGCGAGCGGCATTGGTAGTGCGTGATACGCCCAGCACAGCGTGTCGAAGATGCCCATGATTGTGAACTTGACGAGCTCCCTCGGCGGCCTCGTGAGATCCAAGATGCCCCTCAGGAAGAAATCAAATATCACGGCCAGTAGCGTCGTCAGGGGATGTAAAGTCTGCGGTTGGTGTTGTCGTGTCTGTTGCCGCGCCGTTGTCAACGACCGCCTCTTGGCTTGCTTAGTCTGGCCCCGGGGGGCAGAAAGGTGCGGAGAGGCGAGGGCGGAGAGCCTTGGTGCCGGGTTGTATAGGTGATGTTGGTGTTGGTGTTGGTGTTGGTAGTCGAGGTAATTGTGCGGCCCCGAGAGGCCGGCACTCATCATCGTCTTTTGTGTAAAGGTCTCCGTTGACATGATGTACGGCGGATGTGCCCCTCTTCCCTTTTTTCACACACTTCGTGATGAGGTGCGAGGGAGAGTTGGATGGGACGAGGGGAGGGGGGTACCAAGATAGAGAGATGTAAATCCAAGAAAGGAGGAACCTTGGATCGGTTTCTTGGGAAACGGTCCCGAGAGGAAAGTTAATAGCAGACAGGTGAGGGGCCCAAGATATAAGTCGGTGAGTGATGGGTGGTGAGTGGTGGTGAGCTGCGGGCAACCAAGAGGACCCGAGCTAAGGATGGTGAGGTGTGCTCGAGCTTTATGACAAGCAGGGCAGAAAGAGCAGGGAAAAGAAAAGGCAAAGCTTCCCAAGGTCCCTAAGATAGCGTTTGCTTGCCTTAGCGCAGCTTGCTAGCGACGCACCGTTCGCGACGACACCGTTCGCGACGACACCGTTTTTTTTTTATGCAGATTGTTCAAAGGCGGCGGGGGTGGGAAGAGCTCTGAGAGGTGTGATTGAGGTGTGGTCAAGGTGGTGGCCGAAGTGGTATTCGTCGTCGTTTATCTATCGAAGAAAGATGAGGAAGATGAATGGACAATGTGGTGGTGGTGTGCCCAAGCTAAGGTGAGGTGGTATGAATATGTCTATGCCACCAAAATCCCCAAGGTCAATTCCCACGCGTCTTTGCTTTTGGTGAGAGAAGTCGCTTTCGGTCGCCGACCGAAACCATCAGCAAAAAGATGTGCAGCAACGCAAGTAAGCAAAATCGCATAAGGTACGCTGAGGCCGGCTGCTTGATAAGCTGAATGTCCGAATCCGACGACGGTTGGGGGGGGGGGGGGGGGGGGAGGTAAGGGGGAATAAACAAACAATACCTTACCTTGCACGGTAAAGAAGAACAAGAAAAGTTGAGAAGCAGGAAAGCGACGGCACG